CTGTTGCCGGATGGGGAATGATGTCATTGGATATAGGAACGGATGTCGCCGGAGAGAGTGATAGATGGAGATGGAATGAGTTGCGATTTAGGGATTTAGGTTATGAGTTGCTGCGTAGTTATATACCCAAAACATTTGTGTTGTGAAATTAAAACCTGTTGCGAATTCAGAAATCGAGTTGCGAATTTGAAATTCAGTATTGCGATAGTCATAATCTCGTTGCGATTTACGTATTCGCATTGCGAATTAGGAAAATCGCAACGTGAATTTGAGAAATCGCAATGCGATAGTCAGAATCGCATTGCGAATCTGGAAACTGATTTGCGATACCGGAGATCGCGTTGCGAATTATCGATCGCATTGCGATTTAGTTGGTCATTTTGGCAAATCCAAAAAAAGTTGGTTAAAATCGTATATTATAAGCATTTTTTGTCACTGAGGTTATTTTCTCTTATTTCTTTTCTCATAAGAAGGATGTATAAGGTACTACCATCTTAATATACCGTTAAAAAATTATTATTATAAATGTTAATTATTTTTTAATATTTTTGATAAAACGTTAATTAAAATATTTTTTATCAAAAATGTTAAAGTTAGACGTTACTTAAAATATTTTATATTTTTGATAAAATATTAATTAAATTTTTTTATCAAAAATATTAATAGTAAGTGTTTATTTTTTTATCAGAAATTAGGTAACAAAATTAATATTTTAAATAAAAAATAATATTTTAAATAATATTTTATTAAAAATATTAATATTTTCAATATGATTTTTTAATTGTATATTAATACAATCGTACAATAAAATTACTCAAATAATAGGAAAAAGGAGGGTGAGATTATGTTGATGTGGTGATACAATTTTACAATGAAATGTCGGAATACGTGTCATATATTATGCATTTTTAAGAGAATAATATATATTTAAAAATAATATTTAAAAAGTAATTTATATTATGAATATATTTTTTATGCAAATAATAGTGGGAAGTTTTATTAAAAGAAGATAATATACATCATTATAATCAACATATAATTAGGTCATGCCTTATAATCATTAATATAAAAAATTAGTCATTTGAAATTATATAAAGATCTTATAAAGAAATAATAAAAATAAATCTAAAAAAACTCGAATAAAAGATATACACGAATATATTTAATTGCATCGATAAACGAACTACAAAAAATTAAATTATTGAAAGACCACTAATAATCACAAACCAAAGTCAAGCATCGTGAGAAAAATATCTTTCAACACAAATTACGTATTTAAATCTAATCAAGGGTATAAAGCAAGAAAGATCAATATACTAACAAATAAATATCATTTTGATCAGTTTATACATCGTAAATCTAAACCTGAAAAAATAAACAAAAAAACAACCAAATGACCAAAATCGTGCTAAAATACAGAAGAAAATGTGTCACAAAGACAAACGAAAGTGTGCCATAAAGACAGAATTGTTAAAAATTAAAAAAAACTAAATAAAGAGAAAACGATATGAGGTATAAAAAAATAAAGAAAAAACAAGAAATACATATGATCAACAATTAACATTAAAATTGATATCGTCGTCTGCCAAGCAAAGTAAAAAAAAAGGAATGGGAAACAAAAGGCTAGAATTTTTTTCTTCTCAAATCATTCTTAATCTGATTATGTTATGAACATTTATATATGTATATATCTATCTTTATGTATAAGATAAGATTTTGGTGTATTTTATTATCAGGTCTTTAATATTCATCATTATTAAAGTTATATATTATATTTACTACTTATAACTATAAATATAAAGGTGGAAAGAAGTCTTACCACATACTTCATATTGAGAAAACAATACAAAATTTTCTTTATTTGATTTCTTTATTTTACGATCTTGTTATCCGTTTACTTAAAGAAAAACTAGTTAAAGATTAAATTTTATCTCTATCTGATTCGAAATAAGTCATTAGTCTATCCTTGTCCATTTTTTTCTTATTTTCTTAAAATTATTCTATTGTTTTTGCTTTTAAATTTTTTTACCATTAAAGCGTTTTATTCCCTATCATATTATCATTTGATTTCGTCACCGTGTGCTTCACCACTGTGAGTTCCACGCTTAGTTCCAACCAGAACCCGACCCTTCCGGTCCCTTGTCGCCATCGAATCCTCTTTCGCGATGTGGGTAAGTTCCTTTTTCTTTTCTAGTTATTTCATTGTTTTTTAGGTCGTGTTTTAGTTGGATATTGCATTGAATCGTTGAGTTGGACCTTTGGGAGTAATTGGCCGATGACCCCTCTCCATTTGGCCGCCACAAACGCCGCCCTGACGAATGGCCTTTGCTCCATTTGAATATTCTTGAACTGGTCCTAGTTAACTCGAACCAGACTGAGTCAACTCAAACCAAATCGAGTCAACTTGAATCGATCTGAGTCAACTCGAACTGATCTGACCCGTTGACTTTGACCAAACAATTTACTTTGACCAGAATGTTGAACATAGTTGACTTTGACCATCATTGACTTTGAACAAAAAGTTAGTTTTTTTCGAAAAGTCTTATTTTATGTTTTCGACGTCCTGGGTCCGAATCAAAGTCTGTTTTGCCAAATTTGAACCCGAAAGTTTCCGAATTGACCGTCAAACTCGAATATGCATGTACTTAATTATTTTATTTAAGAATAATTAAATTAAGGTTAATGAATAGTCTAAGATATTGTTATTTGAAGGTACATGAGACTCTACTGACCGTTCGACAGCTCGATCCAGCTCCTCTCGATCATTTCGACCTCGCGAGCCAGTGATTACAGTGATTACTCGTAGGACCCATAAACCTCATTAATAATTCGATTAAAATTTTATTTTGATATTAACTTAGTTTATTATGAATTAGATTCGAGCACTACTGCAGAGCGTGGCGAGACAGGTGTTCAGTAGACTGCCGACTGATTCCTTTTTGCTATGTGTGTTCCCTATGTGCTATATGATTGTTTTATCTCTTTTGAAATGTGATTTACCAAAATTACTGATTTATGGGTTGACTGTTTATGAACCATGCTATCTGATATGTGTTATCTGATTACTTGTTTTCACTGGAAGATATGATTATGTCGATTTATGGATCATTGAATTCACTGCTTGATGTGTGAATTGTTTTATATAGATATGTTTTAGGTACGATACTGAAGTATAGAGGTTCAACTCTGATCAATCTGCTAATCTTACGGACCTAAGGTGACCTTGGGTAGACTCCGATGCCCCAAAAACTTTCTTGGGTGAGCTCTCAGGCCCCAAGATATTCCCTTAGGTTAGCTCCTATACACAATGGATATAAGGTAGGCCCTTATGATGCAATTATGGGAAATGCATTTTGGTGTATGGGAGGAGGTAATTATGAGTGTTAGAATTTAAACTTCACTATGACTTTTATGATTCTTTACTGAATTATTTCTTTATTATTTTTCTCATTATGTTTTACTTGCACCATTGGAACACACCAAGCTCTCTAGCTCACCTTTTCAAACTTCTTCCCTTTCAGATGCTTTTGGATAAGCACTCCGGACCTGACACTTAGAGGATCGACACATTCGTACTTAACAATTTGTTGTAATTTTTATCTTCTGAACTGCTCTCATTTACGGTGATATGTGTCTTTATTTTGAAATACTTATTTTTATGACGATTACTGTTTTTGTTACTGATGTTAGACTTACAACAATACAGATTATGACATATTTTATTTTACACAATCACTTACGGTTTAATATTTACTCGAATTTTTTATCATTATTAACTATGTTTTTTTAATGTTATTTATAATGTGGATTTAAATTATCGATGACGGTTTAGAATATGTTTCGGAAATTTTTATTGTAATCCACTATATCTAGTCGTAACGGATAGATCGGTATATAGGGTTACATATGCTTTTTCTTTTAATTCAAATCAGGGGCAATAGAGGATATCCAAAAATAGGGTTTGTAATTTTGCCTACTTAATTTACTTATTGATGTTGGGATTGGGAAAACAGGTAGGTGAAACTTGCAGCTCGGGCGTTTTATGATGACGTGACGACGAAAGGAGATAATCAACCGAAGACGGGTCGTGGGGATAACAGAGGGATTGCTGTTGTAGTGCTTGATGCTCTTACAAGGTACTGATTCTTTACTCATCTATCGGGAATAACTAGAAATAGCTTTATTTCAATAGTTTTGAAGGGGAAGAGGCGAAGTGGTTTTGTTTGGAAAGGTAGCATTGAATTTAAGGTTTGTGTTTTTGTGATAGGTATAGCGTGGTGAAACTGAAGTGTTAGACTAGATGGACTACTTTGGCAAGTGTCCCGCCCCCCTCCCCTAGTCCAATAAGAAGTCTTGCCTTAGGAGGTTAGCATTAATAATTTTACTAAGATTTATTTAGTTATGCCGTGATGCCAAATATGTTTATCAGTCAAGGATAATTTCTGGTTGCATGCAATAATCATGCCTATTTGCTTGAGCTTCTCTTCAGGCTTACAATTTCTCAGGCACCTTAGTCTGTTATTGTTAGGAGACAATGGGTTAGGGAAGAAGATTTGGCAAAGGAGTTGAAACTACATTCTAAGCAACTTCGGCGGATTCTACGGTTATTTGAGGAAGAAAAATTAGTAACCCGGGATCATAGGAGAGAGGTCAGAGTCTGATATAGTACCTTTTCTTTTTTCTTTCTTTGGGATAATGTTTTTTAGTTGTCACTCTGTGTGGTTTTGTCGGTAAGTATTCCTTCTGTATCTGTTTTGAATCATTGTTGTTCTATTCCTTAGTAATTTCCAAACATGTACTGTGCTTATCAAATGATTGAAGCTCTCTTGCAATTTCCAAGCAGATTCAGACTTCTTAGTTTGTTAAAAATCTCTGAAGCAACGTGTTTTGTAGATATATGATGTTGTTAGGTATAGACTGCATCGTATGAAGAAAAAAATACAGGATGAACTTGAGGACAAGTATACTGTTCAGGAGTATGTATGCCCTGGCTGTGGGAAATGCCGTTGCTTCTCTCTTTTCTTCTCACTTTTAGTGATTTAGTAACATTGAAAAATTGAAGCTTCCCTAATACCATGTTTTCAGATACAATGCATTGGATGCATTGCGATTAGTTTCTTTGGAGGATGAATATTTTCACTGCGAAAGATGTAATGGAGAATTGGTGGCAGAGAGTGACAAGTTAGTTGCACAAGTCGTAGGAGATGGAGATGACAATGCAAGACGACGACGGCTTGAAAAGTTGAAGGACATGCTTCAGAAAATGGAGGTAAATTTTCCTTTTCAAGTTACTATTTAATTATTACCTTATATTGCATATCCATTTGTGCTTGATCCATGATGCGGATATATTGAAATAAGAAAATTAACCCCTTTATCATAACATGGCAAAATTTATTAGTTTGTTTACTAAAAAGACCCATTCATAAACTCCATAAAAGAAACACTAACCAAATAGAAACCCACAAACCCAACCTTTTAAAATACCCAACATTGTTCGAAATAAACATTAACCTTCCAGAAACTCTATCTTCCTTTGATAATCAAACAAATTTTATGTTTTTCTTATATCGGTTCAAAATGATCTCTAGCATAAACTCGATTTATGGTTTTGTAATGCTCTTCTCTTTCTGATTTAGGCTTCCTGTTTCATGTTTGGTTTGATGGTTAAGCTAGACCTCTCAAACCCAGGTTTTAGACTATGTAATTTTAACATGTGTTTTTTTAATTTGTTTAGTGTTTTTTTCCATTAATATCAAATACGACTATAGGCTAAATACAAATTCTTCTATGAATGAATCAAGTGGACGACGACATTTCCTTCCCAACACAATGGATTTGAGTAATCTCAACAGCACTTGTCATCTTATGATTGATTGTGATCGATTTAATATAAAATTTATTTTTTAAGAAATTGATTTTTTGCTGCATCATCATTTTTTTAACACGTTGACATCCTAGATTAGCATTTGCGGTCCAGCTGTACTTGAAACCTAAGTTAGTAGCTTGTTATAACCTAAGGAAATAAATCGAAGGAGAGGTAATGCGAAAAAAAATCTTATTATTGAATAGGAGATTGAAATAGTTAAATATACTGAGTTGCTGACTTCTATTGGACTTTTTTGCTAAAGATAAAATTCTATCTAGAGATAGATTACAAAGACTTGAACTTTCTTAACATAAGACTCCTAAACACACAAGACTTCTACACGGCAGATTCTGACAGACTTATTTCTTTATATATATATATATTTGCAGTATATGTTTATACAAAAAATGTGGGAAGACTGCTTGAAAACTGATTTGAAGGATTTAATCTTTACCGAGGATATGACCTCAGATAGGAAAGTATAGAGACTTAAGACCAGGGTAGCTGAGTAGTACGAGTCACATCCTTAGGGTGTATCATCTCTGTCTGTTTTTAATGCCTTTATAAAAATTTCCATGACGTCTACTTTTTATACGTCTCTGTCATTGTAATTTATGAAGGCTAAGAACTAGGGTATTGGAAAATGTTGCCTTAGTTTAGGTTTTAACCCATTTGACCTTATTTCTTCCCGTTGCTTGCTATCGTTGACTTCTGTGTATTCTTCTCTTCATGTTTCCTCTTTTTAATTTTAGTCGGATCTTACGTTTCTGTCTATATGCAGAGCTTTTTACGCAGGGATTTAATTTCAGGGATTAATTCTCATTACAGATGTGCATATGTAGATTACATATGTAGACTGTTTAACTATGTATTTATTTTTTATTTTTATACATGCATTGCATTTTATCTTTATTTTTAATTTTCTGACTGCCGGAAGTCTTCCACGGAAGCTGCTCTCAACCTGGCGTTGGGGGCAGCCTACTACCCTACCTTCCCTACCTTCCCCTTACCCCATTACATATGGGAATAGGGTTTTGTTGTTGTTATTTATACAAAAATGTTAGCCTTTTTGAATTCGTTTTTTGCAATAGATGGGCATATGTATTACTTGGGAAATGCATCCACCAAGCCCCATGCCTTCAAAGAACTGATGAAAGGTGAGTGCAGCCACCAATGGCCTTATAGTCTTTGGACTTTCAGAAGCACCCAGAGATATCCCTATGATCACCGAGTGCACCACTATTCCCAATTCCAAAACCTACATCATCAGATAAATCTATCAATTTTCATATCACATAATCAGAATTAGGGATTTAAGTTACAGTTTCGGTTGTATTGCATTTATTGCGATTGTAGAGATGCTATTCTAATTATTGCGCGTCATATATATATATATATATGATTCATAAAATAACAAATACCTGAGATACTACTCGGTGCCGAAGAAGCTGAACTGAATCCGAACGCTGGACCATAGAAACGGAACCATGAGCATGGCTATGTGTGGCGTGAGTATGAACCGGCAAATGATTTTCGTTTTCCTCTGTTTTCTCTTCATCACCACCGATGTTCTGTTGTGATTTGTGAAGGTGAGACTTTGTGTAATGAGGAGTAGCAAACACATCAATCATCACTGTACCGATGGAAGCGGCCATCGCCACCAGTCCGGCGAATGGAAACTTCCCCCAAGGATTCTCATGGAGGCAAGGAGACGTTAAGTTCTCCGTAGCGTCGGGAAGAACATGGATGAAGCCGGTGGACAATATGACTCTGACGGCGAAGGCTTTGATGAAAAAGAAGAGATTTTTCTCAGGACGAAGAGCATTGACGGTTTCCCCAAGCGGAGGGAAGCAAACACCAATGGCTCCGGCGACGAGGATGGAGGCTATAGCAGCCATCTTGTATTTGAGCGCTAGAGAGTTGTCCCGATCTTCATCTTCGGGTTGGCAGGTGCAGTCTCCTAATACACGGGAGGGAATTAGTGTTAGAAAGCAGCAGCAAAGAAACGTGAAGGATTTTGTTTCCCTAAAGTGGATCATGGCTGCAACTGAGTCGAGTCGAGTTTGATTGTTTGAAGAGACAATGTAATATATAAAGGATTAGTATAAAAGTAAGTCTCTAAATTAAAATATTTTCTCTATTTAAGTATTTAAATTATTTTTCAGTCAATTCATATGTCTAGTGTTATAAATGTTATTATTTTAAGTATCCCAACCTTAACCGTTGTTAATAATTCTGTTAAATGACATATATGACGTTCGGATAATTTTTTAAATTTTATTTAAAATAAAGAAATTTAAAATATATATTAAAAAACAAAATTTTTAAAATTTTTAATAAAAAACCAAAAAACTTTGAAAACGTTTATTCTAATCCATATACCTACGCTGATCACCGCCATTGTCGTCGACTAAACCTCCACTGACGACACAACCACCGTCACTAGCCATTCCGACCGTCGTCACCAAATGTTGATTTTAAAAAATATTTTTAAGTATAATAATTTGTTTTTAATTTATTTTTAAAAAATAAAATATTAAAAATTATCAGAATATTGCACGTGTCACTTAGTGAAATTTTTTAATGATCGTCACGATAAGTACACTTAAAATAATAACGTTTGTAACGTTAAACACTTAAATTGATTGAAAAATAATTTATACACATAAATAGAAAAAATGATATAGTTTGACTACGTCTTTCGATAATTCTCTTGTTGAGAAAAAAAAATATATCAACATAAAATTTGGAAAAATATAAATATGCTATATTGACATCTATAGTTTCGTTTCCTTATTAGAAATATAGAAAACCATCCCTTTATATAAATACCAAAAAGATAAACACATAATATAAATACAAATCTAACAAGGTGAACTACGTAAATGAGTCATTGAAATATGAATAAATTTTTATTTTCTGCATGGAAGTTTTAAAAGCAACAACACGATCTTTAATATTATTGTTTTGTAATAAATCGGTCACTGTATCTTTACCAGCCCTTCCCGCAATCATAGAAGTTTGATGTGGCACCTTTGGGTGACTGGTTGGCATTATTTGGCCACGTTGGCACCCTTTGACCAGGCATTTTGGCACCTTTAGCTCCACTCTTCAGGACAGTACCAATGAAGAATCGGCGCTTGCTCATCTGAAAAGAAGTTGCACGCTTCATCATCTGCACTGAAGAAATTATGTCCTTCCATCTTCACATACTGGTGAGGTTGATAAGTTATTTTGGAGAGATTGAAGCAATCCATGGATGATGGTGAAGAAGAAGATGTTGTTGATGATATAAACGGTGAATAAATAATCACGTTTTTGGGGCTAATGTTGTTGATGACAATGTCTTCATTTAAGACAGCAATCGAGTCACTGTCTGATGAAATATTATTTATTAGCATCATAACTGGTTTTGAGAAGGCCATAGTCCATTTCCAATTGCTTGGTCTTCCACCTAGCACGGTGGTTTTAGACCCAGACAACAACTTGTCTCGGTTGCAAGACGAGCTCTTGAACTAGTTTCACTCCTCTCAGGTTCGAGGTTGATGCACAACGTGAACGTTTCTTCATAGCTTATGCACGCATAACATCGTGTTCCTTAGATGCATGCATGGCCTAATTTACGTGAACCTAATTACCATGCAAAACTACAGGGTCAGTCGCTATCCCATAAATATTTGTGAGCGTGGGCACATATATATTCATAATAAAAATATATAATATAAAAAAATGAGATTTCAGGGTGGACACATAACCGGGCTGTATAGGGTTCATATTTAATTGATCAGAAGAAGTCTTACTTTCAAATTTTCAAATTATCATATATTATATATTATTTTTTATTGATAATTTGTTTTCACTTTAAATTTTTATAAAATCACTGTCTTAAAATTTTAAAAATTTACCACAACATAAAATCACTTTAAATTTTTTATAAAATCAATGTCTTCAAATTTCTGGTGCAGACAAATATTTCTGCCAGTTCAATTCTTAAGAGAATAGAGCAACTCTGCTCTCGGTTTTTTTGGAAGGGGTCGGACATTACTGCTACTGGAGCAAGAGTGAGCTGGAAAAGCATATGCTTCTTGAAATCCGAAGGAGGGCTGGGATTAAGTATATGAAATCATGGAACAAAGCTTGCATGATCTCTCTTATTAAACTCATCCTAGCTGGTGAAGGATCCCTTTGGGTTTCTTGGCTCCACCACTACGTCTTCAAGGGTAAAAATTTCTGGTCTGTTGACATCAATTCCAAAGCCAGTTGGAGCCTAAAGAAACTGCTTAAACTCAGACCTGAGGCTCAACAAATCCTTTATCCTGCTGCTACCAACGCTGGTAAGATCTGGGACACTCTTCGGGAGAAGAAAACGAAGGTTCACTGGCAGAAACTTTTATGGTTCCCACTGCACACTCCCAAACACAGCATGATTACTTGGATGGCTTTTCTTGACAAGCTTCCAACGAAGGTTCGTCTACAACATATAGGGCTCATCAATGATAATCACTGTATTTTTTGTAATTCTCACCCGGAAACTAGAGAGCATCTATTCCTTCATTGCTCTACTGCTGTCTTAATCTGGAATACTGTGTTCTCACTTTCTGGCATCATTTTTCCTGCCTGTTCCTGGGATGATTTTACGGTTTGGGCAAGTTCCACTTGGAAAGGAAAGTCATTGCTCACTTTGATCTTGAAGATAGCTTTCAACGCTACCATTTACACGATCTGGATCGAGAGAAACAACAGGGTGTTCAAACAAAGAGCTCGATCTGCAGAAGAAATTATCCAGACCATTAAAGAATCTTTCAGCTTGATTCTTAAAGGTAAAAATATCAATAGAATTGATCCTGTTAATATTACTTTATGTAATCAATGAGGTATAGAAGAACATTGATTCTTTTGTAAGTTTTCTGTGTTGTTTTGAAACTTTTCTGTACTCTTGAAGCATTCTGCTCTTTGAATATATTTGACTTATCAAAAAAAAAAAATCATATGTACATCCCTACACTTAAACTCACGTTACTTTAACATTTTCAAATTGTCATATATCTTATATATTCTTTTTTATATTTTTATTGATAATTTATTTTCACTTTAATAATTTAATAAATCCGCTGCCCTAAAATTTCAAAAATTTACCGTAGCATGAAATCATGCTAACATCCCTGCACTTAAACCCTCCTCAACTCTTTTGGAAAGGAAAAACCTTAGCGATACGAGTCAATATCAATATTTTTATACATTTAAAATTTACTTTATACAATTCATACATACAATCATGAACATAATTAACATCATACAATTTTATAAATAACATCTACTTAAATACATCTTATATATATCCAGACTACAATTCTTTTTTAAAAAAGAATTCTCACATTGTGCATCAAAATTTTAGGTGAAAAGAAGCACCAATGGGGACAACAGCATTTTCAGGTATGACATGAATAACCAAAATTACAGAATGAAGCTTTCTACTCAAACCCTACAGTAGTAAACTAAAGAAGCAATATTTTTGTTTTTCTAATTTCTTTTTTTCTCGTCTTTCTGGTCGTAATATTCATCCTCGTCATAGTATTTCTCATTATCATTGTCATCGTCGTGATCAACATCGTCATCGTCGTGATAATAATATTCCTCGTCTTCATCACTGATTTCCAACAGATATGTGGAACCCCTTGATTGCTGCCTCACCAAATGCTCCTGGATTCGCTCTCTGATTGCAGTGCCCTGAAAAGCACCGAAAGTTTTTATGTGCATGCACTTGTCGTTACTATAAGCATAGAGTTCCTTGGATTTTGCTCACCATTTTGTGGAAACGTTCTTCGAACATCTCAAGAAATCCGGCAACCCACCGATCAGCATTTTCCACCAACTCGTTACATCCAGCGACCCAGCGATCGGCATTTCCCACCCACTCATTGCGGTGCATAGCAACAGTTTGTATCTGCAAGTATTTTCTGGTAAAGATTAGAGAATTTCATTCAGTTATTATTGCATCATGTTTAACAGTTACAAACTTAATAAATGTTACGCTGACCAATTCATCACCCCATAAAAAATTAAAAGATGTGCATCTGGCTTCCAATGAACGACTAGATCCCTACCATTAACCACTGGAGAAGAATGAAATATAATAGATCTAGATAGTCATGGCATGAGGGGATATACCTTTTCTCCCACCTTTTCTTGGTGTTCCTTTACTTTTTCATGTAGTTTCTTCAGTCTCATGTTCACTCTCAATCTCTTTTCCTGTTGATATCATATGGGAACATCAATATAGAAGCACTGATGATAAAAAGGGTGAACACCCCCTTGCACCTCTGTGATTTGAACATTTCACTCAAGCTTCCTTATGCTTGTTTTGCCCCCATGTACAGGGACGGACGTAGGATTTTATGTTAGAGGCGAACTTATAAAATTTTAGGAAACGAAAATAGATTATAAATAAAAAATACAAAGAAAATATCTAAAATACATGTGAATTTAAAATTTTAAGAGGCGGCTGCCTCCTCCTCCGTCCCCTTTGGTCCATCCCTGCCAATTTAGTATCTCAAGGTAAAGTTCCATTCTCACAAGGATTCAAGACCATACCTTGACGTAGCTAACTCCAAGATCTTTCCTTGAATATCCACGGTCCAAGTTACGTATCACATACTGGTTATAATCTTTAATAATTCTCATTATTATATCTGACGTCGAAATCCCATCAGTTCGTTTAGTTTCCTTGAACTTCCCAGCAGCTTTAACCTAAGAACAAGAGCTTACTTCAATATAAAACAAAGTTTAAAAGAGCACCAAATGCATAACTACAAAGAAATGTCTCAATTAACTCACAAACTCATACACATCATTGGCGGCTCCACTGGCATCAGCGTAGCTGTAAAATAAATTATGGCAAAGTATAAAGACTACATGATGTGCTGAATGCCAAGTATTTATATATTTTTCAGTAACTAAAAGCCCTATATAAAATAAATGGCTGTCCCTTTTTCCCATATAGTTATCTTTCTTATATAATGCAGCATTCACAATGAACAAATTAGTCTCAAAGCAAGCAAGCATTGTCTATCCTTACGGAAGCGAATCATGAGCCACGTAGTCGATATTGTGTTTATCAAGAAATTCTTGATTGATAACCCATGGTGCATCGGGAATGACTTCGTCAACCCACCTGTAAGAAATGAATAACAAATAACACAATATCAATTCTAAGTTCTAACAAAATTGTTCTATTAAAGAAGAAAAGATTTACAACCAAATTGCTCTTCAAATGAGCTAATCCTAGTTGTTGTTTTCCCTTTAATGCTTTTCAATACAAAATCTAGAATATATTGAGACTGCATAGTATTAAATTGTGGCCACAACATCACGTCGTAACTTTTGCAACATCCACAATTGCAACACCACAATCGCAACCGCAATTTCGTATTAAGGTTGAGAGTTATGGAAAGAAGTAATACCTGCAATGGCGAAGGGATTCATAGCGCTCTGCTTCGGCCATAACAGTTTTACCCTTGTACTTGTGGGTTGTTTCATCATTGCAACACCCCACAACTAAATACGTATTGGGAAACCTAAAGTTCCGCAAAAATCAATCATATATGTAATCAAAACGGAAAATGAAAAACCAAGCAAAGCCCAGAAAATTAGAAACATCAGAAAAATGGCAGTGATGGAAATTTCTGAAGGATACCCAGAAATATGTGCAGATTAAAAGTTAAGAAAGTGGATAAAAGAGGGAGGAAAACATACAATTTCTTAGCTTGTTCGAGGGAGCGAGAGTGGCCGAAATGGAAAAGATCATAGATGCCATCGGCATAGACACGGACCAGGCGATCGGGATCGGGATTATCACTGGTGTTGTCGTTGTTCATGATGGAGATGATAGAATTTAGAAGACAAAAGTTGACAAATTTAAAATCTCTCGTGTCTCATAATTATAATTCGGATTACATGTCTTCTTCGTAAGGCAAAAAAGGGAGCTTCCGTTTCAAACAGCCCTCCATGCCTTCGAATATGCGCTTCTTCCGCTGCTATTTTTGTAGTGTGTCAAAATGTAAAATAGAACTTTGGGCTCTTCGATTTGTTTCTTGTTTTACCGTTGTGTTGATTCTCATCTCCCGCTCTTTAAAAAACTGTTCTTTAATTAGATTTATGCATGAATATTTTAGGATTTATTATTTTAATATTCTAAGTGATTATAAGACTATATATATTTTAATAGTACAGTAAACACTGACAGGACAGGATTAGCAATTACCAAGGACCGAACACATACAAGGAACAGTCACTAAATCAAAACAGTAAAAACGGAAGCTTTCATTATGTGGATCCAATGGCGCAAAATGCAATTCTCCAAGTAAAACTCGTCTCTTACTCATCATCAGTCAGCAAAACTCGGAGAAGATCAATCTTACCCAACTTTAAACATAAATGGGATCCATGCAAAAGCTTCGAACTATCCAATCATCCCAAGTTCTTCATAATTCTAAAACACTTTGTTCCTCTAACCACATGTAATACGTAATCATATTAATAAAACAAGAAGCAGCGCACAAAAGTACCATAGAAACCTAATGTAGTACATGAATGTACCCCATAAACAATGACAGACATAGAATTTTATATTGGGGGGACGAATTTTTAAAATTCTAGGAGGAATGAACTTCTAAAACCTAGGCTCCTCGGAGAAATCAAAATGGTATACATATTGACTTTGGTAACATAACATAAATGACAAGCTTTTCGAATTGCAAAATGACATAGATAAACCATAAGTACAAAGTATCCATACATGTTTAAAAATCGTATGTTGTGCACACTTAATTCTAAACAAAAATTATAATTCATAACAGTCATAGAACAAATAAATTAGAAGTCATACTTTCACATAATATTTTAGACATGTATAGTTCATAGAATCGTGCAACAAAAAATACAAAAATTAGAGAAAGTTACCTTAATAATAACATACCTTGAAAGATTAATAGACACATAATAATAATAATAATAAAATTAAAAAATTATTACACATAGCAGTATAAAAAACTTAGGTGAGACGCATGATAGTGCAAAGTTCACGAATCACAAAGCATAAATCTTTCCTCTAACTATAGTCATAGTTGAATAGGCCCAACATAGTTTGATCCTTAAAAAAATAAAAAAAATAAAAATCATAGGAGTCGGTAATAAAAGAATACGGATCAGAATCAAATAATTAAGTCAAATCTTCAAAATCAATGATCATAATCAAAGTTAACGATTAACAGATGAAGTGAACGATTAATAAGTCAGGCTAATGGATACGATTTAAAGGGTATAGGTGTCATTGGATATGAGTATGGTTTGGTTTGTAGGTTAGATAGGAACCCAAATTGTGGGTCAGAGCGAAAGGTTGTGGTCCTCACCAAGCTTAGGTAAGTGGGCTTAGGTGTGGCCTATAGGCATCGAGCCTAGATCATCCTTCCTTCCCCCCCCCCCCTTTGTTTCATTTTTGTACAGCCATAAAGAAGAAATGGGCAACGATCCAGATATGAGGTTTCAATTTCATTCCATGCATGGACAAGCTCTTTCACTCCTCCAGGTTTTCTTTCTCTATTTGCTTTTAACCACTGATTTGTTTCCTCGTACTTGTAATGATATTACTACTGCTATTTGTTTGTGTTATAAATGTATTTGTAATTAATGGGTAGTCCATCGCCACGGGGAACGGGAATGGGCAGACAATAACAATTATTACGAGCGAAGAAACGCCCCCAACCCAACCTATGCTTTAGCAGCATGGGATAGAGGAGATTATCAACTTTCAAATCCATGACTTGGTTAATGACACGTGTATTTTTTTTTTAATTCTCAACTCAGATTTTGTTAATAGATTAATCGAAATTAATGGTCGAGGACCAAAACTAAACAAATCGATAACATAAGGGATTAAAATCAATTTTTTTAAACCAGTGATCAAAATCAGATAAATCAAAAGTATAAGGTATAATCCATATAATTTACCCTTCATTAACTTGTGTGACCACATGCGTAGATTTCCCAAAATAATCTAATTAAATTTTAAACATTTATTAATATTTTGCCAAAGCGACGGAGTTTTGAGCGAGCGTCGCATGGAGGATATGTATCGTATAAATACAGGTGCTTGACATGACATACTTACTGTGATAATTTTGAAATTAAGGTGCACACTAATAATGATTATTTTACCAAAAAAGGACTTAATTTGAAAGTAATCTCATTGAATCACTCTGTTTAAATTTTTTTATTATTTCTTTTTTCAAATTATGTAAAGATTAGTCTAACTTTGACTTCCTTAATTCCACTTTGATGTCAAATGGGGCCCATTTCACGTTTCGGTTCACCCCCTCTGTCCGATTCCTTTCACTCTCGTATGTGTCCTTTTCTCTCACATTTTGAATTCTCATGTATTTTTTTCCTTCATTCTTTTGTGTGTTTATAAAATTAATTAAAATCATTATATTATTACTAAACTATGTTATGTTTGGTATATAATTTTACTTAATTTATTAATTAATTTTTATATGATAATTGTTGATGTATAACACGTGAAATGATGAATTACAGTTGTTTGGATGATGAAAAATGATATAATTAAGTTATCGATTCGTAGTTCGCTCATTCTAATTTGAACGACGAGCCATTAATCGACTATGTTCTAGTGGTATGAGATGAAATATGTTGTCTCTTCTTCTTTTTCCTTTACCCTCGTAAATCTCAAGTGCTTTATTATATCTGTTGAGTATGTGATAGCCATATGGTCGTCATATTGATACAAAACTATAAAAATTAGGATTAAATCATTGCAAGTCTAATATGTTTAGAGACATCCACGAGTGTCATTGGATATAGAGTTGAAATAATGTTGGATTTAAAATTGTGAAGATCGAGTTTAAATCATTATAAGTCTAATATATTTGCTGCACGATCCTATATTTGAATCCATTTGACCATATAAATTATTTGTTTATTTACACTTATAATTGACCATCTTATTTTCTTTGTATTTCAATAAATTGACCATCTCATTCATTAGCATTGTTTATTTACGCTTATAATTAGGGATGGCAAACAGGTACAGTTTCGTAGATTCCGCACCGCATCCGCTCCAATTGGAGCGGAGTTGGGTATAATTTTAGCGGTTAGTGGGCGGGTGTGGATTTATAAAGTGGTACCCGTTGTGGGTGGTGGGCGGGTAATGGGTTTGAGACATTACCCGCATCCGCCCCGCATCCGCCTGCCTTGCATCCGCCCGCCCAGCTAAATATCTATTAAATTTTGGACCATTATGAATTTAGGTGTAATTTTAGAGACTAATTTATAAATTTTAATATTGTATAATATATAACATATAATTTAACCAAATATTAAGGATATATAGTCTTTAATCTGATATTTAATTAGGGAAATATTAGGCTCTTTGATTAAACTCATAATCCCACTAACCACGTCACTTTCTATGTTCTTTAGCCCATGATGCTCATCCAAACACAAATTAGTCATACTATATGCATTAACATCAAAAGCAGCAGTTTTTATGTTCTTTAACCCCTCAAAACCCATATTAGGCGTACTATGAGCATTAACATCGAAAGCAACTCAACAATCCAGCTCTGCGACTACATGCTCCCTACAATCTGTCTCCATAACATTCGTAGAGCCATTCCTATGACAAATTGAAGCATGCGTTGCTACCCCATCACGAACTGTCTGGGAACCAACTCCAACATCCCATTAGTTTGCTGTCAGACGGGTCTAGATGGGTATGTCGCTAGTGGGTAGTGGGTGTAGGGATGGATTTGAAAATGTATCCGCGTGAGCGGGTGTGGATTTAAAAATTTGTACCCATCATGAGTGGAGGACGGGTGGTAGATTGAAAAATATTAGGTGTGTACGGGGATGGGGAAGGAGGTATACACACCCGACCCGCCCGTTTACCATCCCTACTTATAATGTTCCGACAGAGTCCTATTTAGCTGCAATGCTTAATTTTTCCTCCTAAAGTCCATCAATTTGGAGTCAATTTATGGTTAAAAAGGAGCACTAAAAATAAAATTAAAAATATTTATCAATACTAAAAAATTAAAATGAATAAAATTAAATAATATAATACTCCTATAAAGAATATATGACTTTTCAACATTCTATACCTTCATTATATATATATATATATATATATATATATATATATATATATATATATATATATATATATATATATATATATATGTAGTATTTCTTTAAACATATATGCACGTTGTATTCAGTATATTCTCAAGACAGATGTCTTTTCGTCGGGCATATGATAATATAATTAAAGAAAATGTATTGTACCCGAAAGTTTAATTTGCAAGTAAAACCATGTCTATTTTTTATTTAGATCTATTTTTTATTTAGTAAACAAGAAGAAAATTAAAATGAAAATATAGCAATATATATTTTTTCTGAAATTGGATTAGGCCCATTGTTTTAGAAAACAAGAATCCCTCATCCCATTAATTAATTGCTAATATATACATTGGTCAATGTTTACGTTCTCCCTAAGACAAGACAGTACCTAACATTCTCAAAACATGTGCCTAGGGTTAGTCCTATTCTCATTGGACGAGTTTGATGTTCTAGAACCAGGAACCTGTGAGGAAACACCCTCCGCCACTGCACCGCCACCTTCCATGGTTGCCCGTGGGTTGCCGCCGCCCAGTCTTTGAAAGTAAACCTCCCCCGTTCCGGGATTGTTATCGTTTCTGTTCAATGAAAACATCAACGGCTGGTTTTGGGGGTGATGGAGTGATTGATTTTGTTGATATTGCAAGTGAAAACCAGTGGGAGGAAGCATGAGGGAGTTGTTAGGGTTAACTTGGAACCCGACCCCGAAATTCGGCCCGCCGGAGTGGGAACCTCCTGCCGCGAAAGGAGCAGTGGGTGCGCCAGTGAATTGTTGAACCATGGCTCGGAAATTCGTGGTATCCGTGTTGAGCAAGGTAGTCGGGGTTCGCCTTGAAGCCCTCGATCGTCTTCGAACTGGCTTCCCGACGCGGCCTTCTGGGCTCAAATGACCACCACTTGGACCATCACCTAGTCCCGAGCTTACCGTAGCAGAGCCCGTTGTGACCGTGGAAGTGTTGACGACGGCGGAAGTATCGGAAGCCGGGTCGCCGAATAGCGATTCCGATGTCAGAACACGAAAGCGATTCGATATTTCTGGATCAGAAAGTGTTTGATCGTAATACTGTGGCCAATCAGACATGGTTTCACTCATGTCCAGGGCGAGAAATTAGCTAAAACTATCGAAGAAATAATTATTTTTTTCTCGTCTCTTTTTTTGGTAAGAAGGGAAGACGAGAGCGTAAGCTTAAGGTATTTATGGTGGCTTTCAAGGTGGCCAAAGGAAGAAAATTGGGAAAATCAAGGCCGTTGATTGTGGTTAAAAGATTTCCGGCACGTGGCAGGACACGTGAGAGGTGTGGCGTAAAAAGGAGAAAAGAAATGCTTGGCGGAAATGGGCGTTCTGGAAGTCGGGGGTATAGTTTCGTCGAAGCAGCAAATCACTTATCACGATGACGCCATCTAAATAATAAACACGTCGCTCCACTGTTTTCTTTCCCCAAATTTTGCTTTTGCTCCCTCTAATCTATTTATATTTATTCTTTATACCTTTAATATTCAATCCAAATAATTAACTATTTCAGTTAAAATAATTGTGTGATTTTTAAAAAAAATTCACTCATAGTATTATCGTCCTTGATTTGTTATTCAATTAATCTAAATTAAATATGTGTATCGATTATAGATATTATTCTCTTAATTTAATTTATTTCATTCATCTATTAAAAAATTTTATTCCATTCATAACAATAGAATTTAAATACAAATATAATTTAAAAATATTAATATATCTCATCCTATGAATAAATAATTAGTTAAGAAATCTCTTCTAACTCATTATACTAACATAATTTTTATTAAATTATTAATTTTAAAAAAATACATAAATTAACATTTTAACTGAAATAATTAATGATATTAATTAATTAAGTTAAATGACATTATATTAAAATTAAATCTCAGCGTTTTTTAAAATATTCATTTTAGCTCATATTATTTTCATTGGAGTAGTTTAACCCAATATTCTATTTTAGGACAGAACCACTCTTAAAGTTTGTCTGCATAGTAATTGACCATTTATTTTTTATTTGTATTTTGACCTCTAATGTTTCATTTTTAAAGTTAAAAAAAAGCTTATACTTTAGAGTAGAGACAATTTCTTAACTAACGATTTTTATTTATGGATGGATATTATTATTTAAAAAATATTATGATCAAAATTAGGGACAGACGTAAGATTTTATATTAAGAGGAGTGAACTTAAAAATTTTATATATTAGAGAAATTATAAAATTTTAAGAAAAACGAAAAAATATTTTTAATAAAAAATAAAAAAAAATAAAATATATGAAATTTAAAATTCGACCGCCCGCACCCGCCTCTCTAGTTCCATCCGTGATCAAAATCATTATTTGACTTTTAAGCTGTGGTTGGGTGGACATTGATAACTCTTGCTTTGTTCCAAACATGAATAAAACATCCCACTTCCTTCTCTACACTAGCGTTTTTTTTTTCTTACTAAAAATCATATATTTTTGTAATTCATATAGTTTGAATTTTTAATTTTAAATATATTTAAACATATAGTATTGTAATAAAAATATATTATTTTAATTAACATTAAATTTTAAAATCAATGTTAAATAATTGCAAAAAAAACATTTTTTAAATATAAAACAAAGTTTCATACTTCAACGTAGAAATAAATTATTTTATTATTCAAAGGATCTCAGCCACCCATCTAAAAGTGTTGTCTTTCCCTTTCTCATGGCACGTGGTCGAATGGAGGAGTTTCTTCTTAAAAATTTATAATAACTCAATCAAATTAAAGCTGAGCCAAAACAACAAACAAAAATATTATTTTAATTTTTTATTAACCGAATATAAAAAAATATCATTAAAAACCCATATAAACACATAAAATTAAAGCAAAAGAAAACGACAAACACCAAAACAAGGCTCTAAGCCTCTAACCAAAGCCCCCAAAAACACTGTAAAAAACAAAAGAAAATATAAATTATCTATTCAATATCCCACTTATTCACATTTTTATTTGACTATCTAACTTTTTTTCTTTCAAATTGTATATAATATTAAATTTTATTTCTATTTTAGCACCCGTCGTCAAGTCTAAACATTTAATAAACGAAAATGATGATATAATAATAATTTCAATCCCTAAACCTTACATATTCTTTCAAATTGATTTTAATTCAAAATAATTTGATGTATTTTTAATATTAGAAAAATCGTATCATTTTGTTCCTCATTTAATTTGAAATAATTTAATATTTATTAGTACTTTAATAATAATTTTAAATATTAAGAATTTATGTAATTACTTTGAATTAAGACAATTTAATAGAATGTGTAAGTTTTAGGGATTAAAAATATTATTAAATATATCATATGTTAAACTAACGATGAGGGTATCAAATCATCAAAATAGAAGCAAAACATAATAAATATAGATGATTTTGATAGAAACTAGTTGGATGCCAAAACAAATACAAGAGAATAGGTGAGGCACAAAATAGTAGTTTGTTTAGGTGTTCAACATCTCCTGTGCCACCATTGATTTCCTACGTCGCCTTCATTAGGCCATGGAGATGGTAACTGTGTTTTGACGAAGGATGGTGATTGGAGGCGATTTAGGCAAGTCTTTAGCGGCGACTACGGTCATATACTTACTGACCTTTGGTTTTGGGTGTTATTTTCTTGTTGATACTTTTCCAATCTGCCCTGGGTGGGGGTGATTTGTTTGGGCCCTTGGTGATCTGACTGAATAACTTATTTATATTACATAATGGTACGTTTGATTCACGAAATATAAGATTACCAGTGGAAATAAAAGATTACCAAGGAATAAGATTACTGAGAATGTTATATTTTGTATTTAGTTGATTTAACAAAAATGTAAGATTACCGTGTTTGGTTAAAAGATTATTGAAATGTATAATTAACCAAATTATCCTTATTATATATTTGTATAATATTACAAATTATAAAATATTTATATATTTTCTTTAAAAAAATTATATTCATAATATTTATATAATTTTTTTTACAAAATTAAAAATATAAAAAAGATTTAATGAAAAGATAAAAAAAAATTAACCCCTAAACTTCATATAAAATTTTAATTATAGATTTTTTTTGTAAATCTAAAATAATTTAAAGAAAAATTTATAATTTAACCTTAATAGAATTTTTATTATTCAATGACAGAAAGATATTTTTGAAAAAAAATAATAATTTAAGGACATTTTAATCCAAAACGCTGATAATGTTACAATACCTAAAGGAAGGGAGATAATAACATTCCCGGTAATATACCCCAAAAAATCTACTATTGGTAATAAAACATTACTAGAAATGAGATTCCCGGCCAACCAAACATGAAAATGTGAAATTTCCATCCTATGAGAATCCCACAATCCTTAAACCAAACACACCCTAAAGGTAAGAAGGAAGCAACAGTAACATATTACAAGTACCTGTTGTCTACTCTGACTCGACAATTTGGGCTTTTCCTTTTCCCCTGAAATATATCTCAGAGCATAGGACCAGACATTTCTATGTTATGCTAGATTCAGAATTTCCTTCCATAAATACATAGAGATAATAGATTAAAACATTCTACTTGCAAGGGTAAACAAAGTGCATGCAACAATGAACATCATACAGATTTTATAAGCATGAAGCCTTGGGAAGAGGTTAATCAATTCGACTGTAAAAATAGCATCCTCATCTGGGTTTTCCATTTGTGACACAACCTTAGAACCTCTTCTGCCTGAATGAAAGGCGTTAAGGAAAGGATCCAGCCTTGATCCAACTGCTCAAGCCATTTTGTCATTGCTGTTAAAATTGACGTACAAAAATGCAAGTCGTGCTTTATTTCTCCAGAACTTTTGGGCAGAGGCATATCAGAATCAGCAAAGACAAGAGCTACCCAAGTTTCAGCTCACAGTGTCGCATAGAAAACTGTGGGATGACTAATACTTTAGTTTAGAGTTCAATGAAATTAGCAGAAGTGAATAACAAAGAAAATACTGTATCTTGGATTCACTTTTCCTTTACCATATACAGCTCCCGACTCTATTGTCAAATATACCAAGAGTCAGCTCCAGGTACCATTATGGATGTCTTGAAACACCACCATGCAATTGTGTTGATCTCAATTGGGGCTCATCCTTCAATAGGGGAAACAAATATGCATTAAGAGAAGGCAGCTCAATAGTTTTGTCCGACAAAGGTTTACAAAACTAACCTGCAAAGCATATGTGAAACTAGCTGAAGGTCGATAATCCAATTGTCCCTACAAGAGAAAGCATAAAAAAATAAATTGTCATAACCATTTTAATATAACCAAAGTTACTAAAAAAATGGAAAAACAAAATTCCATACCATCCCATGCATGCTTTGTTGAGTGCCAAAATAACTGTCATGGCCAGGTGCCATAGAGTTCAACTGACCCTACAAAATGATAACTACTTATAAGTAGTCAATAGCCACAGTAGTTACAGTTCACAACAATTTTTGGACAGTTGAGCTAGGGTGGCTGGATTCAAATTAGACCAAGTTCAAGATGTCAATTTCTCATATCAATTCCGGTAATGATTTTGTTTCTGAAGGGAAACTGTTTGGTTGGGTCAGCTATTTAAATTTTTCTCAAACTGATTATTATGGTTGTAAGGCCAGCAAACTTACCAAACCCTGCATTCTCTGCTGATTAACATAATAACCATCATGAGGTGGCTCCATCAAGTTTAACTGTACCTGTAATTCCACAATTTAAAATCAGTGCGAAAACGACAACAGTTTCAGAAATCTCCATAGGCTTTCAAATTAGTAAATATGAAATACCAATCCTTGGACATTCTGTTGAGCACCATAGTAGCCATTAAGAGTTATCCCATCTGAGCTCAGGTTCTCCTACACATATAAAGCCAAAATGCCACAAAGCTAAATTAACTTGTTATGAGAATCCACACCAAACTACATGAAAGAAAGATGCAGAATCATATTGAATAATTCATTTTTCAGTAAAATTTCAAAAGTTAAAAGTATAAAACATTATATCTACCTACCACTTAACAACAGTGTCTGTAGGTTATAGTAATTTCTTTACCAAAAGATAGTAGATGAAGTTTACAACATGCAATGAACAATATTAGTACAATAGTTTTCACAGCCCAATTTGCAATGCAACTAGAAAGAAGCTATAAAATACATCAAGAAAAAAGAATTAAGCTAGGACAAACCATTTGCTGCAAGCTGTCCTGGGTATCAACAAACATGAGAGCCGGCTCTGATTGCCCCTGAAACATAAAAGTCCTTTCTTGAATGATTTCTTTTTTATCATGGAACAAGTGGCAAAAGTTACAACATAAGATATATACACATCAATCAACTTTCCAGTTTCAGAACTAACCTTCCGTTTCCTGTTTGTGTTCCTTCTCTTACTTGATTTTGAAGCAATACTCCCTTGATTTTCTTCTTCTGCTTCACGAAGACCTTGAACATTGCCAGTAGATTCTACAGCACTGATACAAGAGTTGTTAACATTGACACAATTTTTCAAAGCTTCTACCAATACACGAAAAGCAATGTTATAACTCTCTTCAGACAGTGATCCTTCCTCACTCAGTTCAATTGCTTGTTTACACAAATCATTGTATCGCTGAACCCTTGTTTGCACTCGTTCTGTTCCTTCAGCTGTCGATTGGCCACTCTTAGCATCCTTTGTCCACCTCTTCAATATATAACGAGGGGGGATACTTGTGCGACCACACATTTGGAGAACAATCATTGCATGCCGGCAAAGAAAACCTCTGTATTCAAACAAGCGACAGCTACAAGAAACTTCTGACTTTTCTTCATTCCATATTACCATAAAATTTTCATCCTTTTCACAGTCTTGAACTCTAAATGGTATAGTTCCTTGATTTTCACTTTCCCTTTTGGGATGGCAGCCAACTACACCCAAAACTTCAACTTGGAATTTTTTGAATATTGCATGTGTATAAACAATTGACATTTGTTTTTCCCATGGTGATGGAGATTTTAGTGCTGGCTGTTTTTGCCAAGTATCAAAATCTGCTATAGCTTCCTCTTCATATCTATTTTGCAGAATAGCTCCATACTGTTTCACAAATTCTTTCAAAGTAATTTTCTTATGGATATATTTATCAAAGAAGGAGTTCATACTTTCAGAACGCTGACTTGTAGACATTCCAGCAAGAAACACATCGTCCATGAAAGTAGGTACCCATTTTTTGCGGTCTTCATACAAAGATTGAACCCACTCATCATCTTGGAGGTCAAATCGAGTTATCATTTTCCACCATCGCATCTCAAACTCTTCATCCGTCCAAGATTTGAAAATGCATTTATTGAATTTAGGCAAAAAGTTCTCATGTGGCCCAATTACATGTGCAAGAGATTTGGGAATCTTTTCTAAAATGTGCCAAAGAGCAAAGCGGTGGCGTGCATTTGGGAAGACCTCTTCGACTGCAGCCTTCAAATCTTTGTCTTGGTCAGTAATTATAACTTTGGGAGTGTGTCCACCCATTGCTCTAAGCCATGTCTTCATTAGCCAAACAAATGTGGGCTTAGTTTCATCTGCAAGCAATGCACATCCAAGTAACATTGACTGGAAATGATGGTTAACACCAATAAATGGTGCAAATGGTAATTTCTCATTGAATTTCACATACGTGGTGTCAAAAGAAACCACATCATTGAAACTTGCATAATCATTCCTGCTTTTAGCATCAACCCAGAACAAATTTCTCAAGCGTTGCTCCTCATTTAAATCTATCGCATAGAAGAAGTCAGGGTTCTCCTTCTTGATACGCTTAAAATATTCTAGCATAATTTGGGCATCCCCATCATCCACGAACAAGTGCCTGCCCTTATCAAACTGAGTTTTTACATCATTCTGAAGGAAGGCTACATTTTGATATCCACCGGACTGTCTAGACATCTCAACATACATTTTTCTTGTCCGTTCACTAACAGCGTTAAGAATGTCGATGTTGTTCTTTTCAGCCAATTTCACATTCCGATAGATTCGAAAGTGGTAAGCAAGGGCTGGTAAAAGTTCATGATTATGCTCCTTTATAAATTCATGAATAATCCACTTCCCATCCGGCCTTCTTTTCACATGCATACTGGCTTTGCAGTCTGTTTTTTTCACACTAGATCTTCTACTACTACCAACATCTGATTCAGGTGTGACTCCATATTTGGAACATGCAAATTTAGCATCAATAAATTCCTTAGATTTCTTTGAACGTCTACTGTTTTTAATTGAGGTAGTAAATCCCATGGACTTGGCATATTCCTGATAAAATGCATATGCAGCCTCATGTGACTCAAATTCGATGCCATTTTGTGGCTCAAAATCTGCATCTCCTTCAAATCCAACAACAGCCCTTTTAGAGGTATCAACTATCCCCGCATCTCTACTACGTGTCGTTTCATCCACAATATCAACCATATGTTCATTCACCCCATCATTACAAGGCATGGAGTCTCTACAATCCACCATATTACCGATTGCATTTTGGTTTTCTCCAATCTTTATCATGATCACCAAATGGTAGATTCCTCTGTAATTTCATGAGAAAACCCACATCTCAAGCAGACAATCCAATGGCACCTAGTAAACACCCAAAATAAAGACCACTTTTACAAACCCTATGTCAGTAATAATAGGAAAGCATTCGATAAAAAAACTAAGCTGCCACGAATTATAACCCTGTCATGAAATATTTAGGTTCTTTGGATCGATTGGCATGCTTAAACCTCATCTGTACTAGGCCAAAAATAAATAAAAGCAAAAAATAAAAAATTTTATCTGAAGCAAGTAAGTCAACAAACTAATCAAATAAACTTCTTTCTAATGAATAACGACTCAAAAGAGGGAAAAATACAAAATACTAACGAAAAAAGTTACACAACAAGATCGATAACCCTAAAACTAGAAGGAATGAACAGTCACAAATTTCGACGTTGTAGCAAGAAATGTTGATGAACTGGATACCCATAATTAAATGAACTAAAATTAGGGAAAACCCAAATAAATTTTCGATAAACTGAAGGACAAGGAAAAGTCATATACCAGAAGAAGAAAGGTGCTGGAGAATAAAGAGCATAAAGTAGGCGATGGTGTGGGTTAAGCAAGATGCTGCAGACTCAAATGCGCCAGAGAGTTCTTAGGGATTTGAAATTTGCGAATTTTACCGTACCAAGTAGAAAATTTGGAACTTCAAAAGTTTATACGTTAATGCGAAAATGAAATAAAATATAGTGAAAAAATAACCTAAGTAATAAGAAGGGTAAATTGCACTACTACTCACTAATCAAAACGAATATTCAAATTAAGCTTAACTATAAAAATAAGTTTTCAAACATACCTCTTGTTAGTGTATAAAATTGTTTTGGTCAAAATAGATGTTTAACATTTTATGCGTTAGTAATTTGAGTGTCATGAAAAAAAAAACTACTAGAAATCAATCAATCAATCACCATCTAACACATGACTTCATGTTTATTTTTTTAAATTTTAAAATTAAAATTCATAAATTTTATAAAAAAAATCTTTAAAAAAATTCTTATTTTACACAAAACATCCAAAAATCATATAACTCCAATTCTCATATCTTTAAAACCCTAATTCTCTAATTAAATTTAGGGATTTGGAGGATTTAAGCGACGACAAAATAGTCTAATTTCCTCTTACCGTCACCTAATTATGGAAGAGAGGATATGAGTTTACTGTGAAGTCACGACGTGTATAGAAGATTCATATGAGATTTTAAATAAGCGGCATAGAGGGTGTAGAAGATGCATACTAAATTTCTTCCCGTGGTGTTGGTGACAAAAACAAGGGGTTTTGATTGATACACGATGTTAAGATTTTGATCGATCAGTGACGTTAATGACGACCGACGATAAGGAAATATATTAAGGATTTTAGAGTTTTTGGGGAGATTTTAGAGAAATTTTGATTTTTTAGAATATAATTTTAAGTTTTTTTATATAAAATTAAAAAATAAATCAGAAATTTGTCATGTTTTTAATGGTTGAAGGATTTTTTATATGGTCGTGACGGATTAGATACTTAAAATGATAACAAAAGGAATATTAAACATATATCTTAATATAAAAAAAATAAACACCTAAAATTAACAAAAGATATAATTTAAGTACTTGATTTTTAATTAAGCCTTTCCTTTCGCTTCATCCATAAGCCTTTATTCTCTTCAGCCTTCCTATACCTTCTTCAATTGCTCAGTGGTTGAGCCTAGTTTGCTAAGTAGTCTTATCCCACATTGGTTGAGTTTACGACTTTAAGTTGGAGCCTTAATGATCTTATTAATATCCATTAATTGTTCTTGTCTAATCTTGGGATGATAAAGCGATGTTTTGGTTTTAAATTAGTCCATAATGTTGCCAAAATGATTTTTTTGATTTTTTTAAGTACTTTACTTTAACGTTTTATTTTAGATTAAAAATCTCTGGTTAAATGAAAATTATTAATTGATTAACGGTTAAAGTTTTTTGTTTATTAGGCAGACTTACATGGACTAGAATGTTGACATGACATTTCTACGTGTAATGTCACAACAAAAAAATTATTTTTAAATTTTTAATTATAAATTATTATTATTTTATTTAATTGTAATTTTGAATTGTTTTCGGTTTAGATTATTTCCGAGTTTAATTTATATCTATGTAACTAAAATTTGAGTCAATTTTAGTTCATCTCAATTTGTTTCAAATATCGAATCAATTTTGAACTATTATATTCGAATCTTCATTAAAATTAAATCGAATAAATCAATTCATACAATCTAGCTGGAATTATATTTGTCAATCTAATTTCAACTCTTAGTCTAACTCTTATCCATTTGATATTTTTTTTAAAATAAATCACTAATTTCATTCAAAATATGAAATATCTTAAATTACAATAAATATTTACAATTATAATCGTAAATTAAGCGGACAATTTTCTATAATCATTGAAACAAAACTAACAACTTAAGATCACATAAGACCATACAAGGAAAGATTAAAATTTAACTAAGAAACTCGAACAAAGATAGATACAAATGAACCACAAAAGGAGATCAAACTATTGAAAGACCATCGACAATCCGCAAATCAGACTTGAGTGACGTGAAAAGCTATCCACGAATGCATAACGAGTACCAAATCCAATCCGATGGTCCAAAGCAAAGAAGATCAACAACATAACAAATAAGCATCATCTTGATTAGTCGTGGTGATGTCTAATCAACACTTTAAAAATATAAAAGAAAACAACGACCAAACGACCGAAAAACATAAAAGATAAGAAGAAAATTTATCATAAAAACAGAAGAAAAGGTGTAATAATAAACTTTTAATCTTAAATTAATAAGAAAATTATTGGAGAGATAAATTAAAAAAAGGAATCTTAATCTTAATTTGTCAGGTTGCCGTTGGTGGTGTGTTACTTTTTATCGCAGATGAGTTACTCCACTATCTCTGTGTCCATTTTGATATTGCCTCGATGCTTTTAGAAATATTTCAATTATTTGTTTTTAAGCATGCTTGTGTGCTTGCTTTAGGTTATTTGTGCATTTGGAAGGCTTGGGACAATGTTTGGGTGTGACAAGTACAATATTAAACCAGATCTTGTTTCAGTAGCAAAGGTGAAGCTGTAATATAATATATTCAAGTATAAAATAGGCTTCAACTGTGAGATAATTCTCATCTTCTGGCATATGCTGGTATTATGTTCCACAGGCCCTTTCTTCGGCATATATGCCCATCGGAGCAGTCACGGTGAGCCCTGAAATTTCAGAAGTCATTTATTCTCAAAGCAACAAACTTGGTAGGGAATATTACTCATTAGATGACGTGTGCATATTCACTTTCTCAGTGCCTTGTCTAATTTCCGCTCATTTCAGGTACTTTCTCTCATGGATTCACCTACACTGGGCACCCTGTATCCTGTGTGGTCGCAATTGAAACACTCAAGCTCTACAAGTGTGTTTCTATCCTGCCACTAAATAGAAAAAAATAACATAATTTCTAAATGTCTAGACTGCAAACAGAAAAGTTTCTCTATAGCTGTTATTTCATGGAGTAGTTGAATTCCATGGCAGTATGTTGGAGTGAGTTATGGGTTGAAACATCTAGTTATGTCAGAAACAACTTAACCTCGCCCTAGGAATAAATAAAAATAGGTTAAATCTTCATGTTATCTTGAAAGGCATATGGGTAACCAAAATAATAACCAAAGAATGCCATAACGAAAATGTTACCAAGCTTATTTCTTCAGGTTGTATATGATTATACAGTGGCTTTAGATAATCTGTTTTATGACTCTTTTTCCAGCTATACATTCGTTATTTAATCAATTAACGTGCAAAGCATTGTTGGACATTTTCTGACTTGAGTTAATTTGCATATTGCGTGCAATACTCAGGGTAGTCTATTTCACATCCTTGCAGAGAAAGAAACATTGTTGAGAAAGTGAAGAGCATTTCACCCAGGTTTCAAGATGGTCTAACATCCTTTTCTGACAGTCCTACTGTTGGGGAGGTACGTTCTGCATTTGAGGTATCCATTTTACGCAGTCAATATTTACTAAACGTCGATACATTAAATTGTTCCACTTCACTGATTCTGCAGATCAGAGGTAATGGCTTGATTCATGGTACCGAGTGTACAGACAAGAAGTCACCTAATGATCCGTTCCCTCCTGAATGGGGTAAGTACCACTTTCTACTTCCTATTTCTGTTTGAGAGAAAACTATCATCTGTCTGCATGATAGAGGATTTGAGTTGCTTTTTTATTTTTATATAGGGGCAATTGAGTGTGACGGATTTTATATTTTGTTACCACACAGGAATTGGTGCATATTTTGGAGCACAATGTGAGAAACAAGGGTTGCTAATACGTGTTGCAGGCAACAACATAATGATGTCTCCACCATTAACAATTACTCCTCCGGAGGTCGATGAAGTAAGTTTAAAGATGTTAGCTCTATCTGCTGAATTATCTTTAAATTTTAAAGTATGTTCTACCAATTATCTTGTGTGACCATTAGTCAATTAATGCGTGTCCTTTGTTTCCCTTCTCAAGCTTTCATAATCCATTGCAAAAAAGTTTCTATTTAAATGTATGGTTTCAAATTGCAAGATGGGTTTTGTGTCATGTCATGTTTATCATGATTTTAGTAAGTATTGAGCCGAAACTGCAAAACAATTGGTTTTCGGTCATGTCATGTTTATCATGATTGTAAGTATCGATGGTGTTGGGAGCCGAAACTGCAAGACAATGATAATAACCGAAAACTTGCTATATTCGACTGTTTCTCTTGGTTGACATAGAAATAGAAGTTTTAGCTGTTGTTAAGCAGAGTTGTAATATAATAAATAACAATCCTGGACTCATTACTACCTGCAGTTGATAAAAAAATACGGCAAAGCATTGAAGGCTACGGAGGAGAGGGTGAAGGAACTCAAGTACCAGCAGAAGAAACAGTGAAGAGATTTTGTTGATGATGGTGGAAAAGGTAATGCTGCTTCTTGTGAACCGAAAGCTATATCTGATAAGTCAGTAAGTAAATAGAGGTGGTAGCTGTGGCCTCTTCTGATGTGCATAGAGTTCATACTCGTATCTGTAAAATATATCTGGTGCCTTAATAAAGCAACTGTTTTCGGTTTTACTTTGTTTCTTGTTTTTCAACTGCATTTTGTTTGTTGTGTTTGTGACTAAACCGACGAAAAATAAAACGATAGAAGTATTCATGGGTCGGATAAATTCGGATTTTAAATGTTAACAGTGTCTAGCTTATTGTTTTGTTCAAGTACATTTCTTGGTCACAACCTTTTCGACCATGGCCATAGCTGTAGGGCTCATGATATGACTCCACAAAACTGTTGACATAAATGCAGTTCTTGGAAAGATGGATTGGTAGTAGACACCTCTCTGCATTTCAAAACTAAGGATATTTGTATTTAGGGATGGACAAGGGGTTCAATTGGGAGGAGTCGACCAAAATTTTAAATCATCATATATTTTAAATTTTTTGTTTGTATTTTCTATCGATAATTTATTTTCATCTCCTAGAATTTTATAAATTCACCCCTCCTAAAATTTTATAAATTTATTCTCTTATCATAAAATCTTACGTCCGTCTCTATTAGCATTGCGACTCGAGTATTAGCTGTTAGTATTGTGACTCGAGTATGAGCGACGGGAAACACAATTGGAGTGTCAAACTAAAGAAGAGAGTGAAGGCACGGCTAGGATGCAATCATGTCATTAGTCATAGACGAGTGCAGGTAAAGCCGAGTAGTTCAGCAAAGAAATTAGAACCAGAACATTTCATCTAGTGTTGTGTGGTGAAAGGTGAATAATGGGATTGGGTTGCAATTTCTAGGCCTTTGTTTTCTCATGAACTCTTTCCTGATAATTTAAGACTAAATAAAATACAACTATGCCTTTGTTCATACATATTTGAATTGTTTAGGTGTAAATTTTACAAATTAAAACAAAAGCGAAAGCAATGTGGCAAAATATTAAATAGGTAGGGTAGTCAACTGTAGGACCTTTTGTATGTTATTTCTCAAGAATATTCCTTTTCCCAATAAGAATGCAATAATTCCCTTGTTTTATGGTTCCAATGGTTTGTGGTATATTTTATATTGATTTATGGTTTAGGGTTCAACTAATACAAGATGCTGAAGCGCACAAATTTCTCAGGCAACAATGATAATACAAAAATGGTTTATGGTTTCGAATCCGTCCAAAATGTTCAAATCACTAGGCTGAACTCTTCTCAAAAACCATAACATAGACCCTCAAAACCTAAGTTTAGTAAAAAAAACCACCTGTTCTTTCCAGTCCTGAACATCTCCTTGGTTTCCTTGCAAGCACCGACGGAAACCGCGTCTTTCAAGTCCACGTCGAGGGTGTAGCGCGTGGGCATCAGATGCTGGTGATTGACGAGCTTGACGAAGCACTTAACGCGTGACTTCTTGGCTGTTTTCTTGGCGGAATCCTTGCTGGGGTTACTTGTTTATTCCTGCAACCAGACAGCGGCCATAGGGGCGGTCACGTGTGCCTTCGTCGAAGGATTTCACGATCACGGCCTTGTTGTGTTTCAGAAATTTCACCATGGCTACAACCGCTCCTCGGGTTCTCTCCAAGCGGAAGCCCCAAGTCGAGAAAGGAAGGAAAATTACAAAGAGTTACATAGAATGGAATAGGAATTTTTTGTATTCTTGCTTGAATTGATGGACTTCCTGCATTGGATTGGATCGGGTCAATTTTTTTTTAAGAATGTGATGTTCTTCAAGTCACACATAATCTAATACTAATAAAAAGAGGTCAAACATTTCAAATTCATATAAATACTTGAGAAAAGCATCAAATTGTATCACAGATAATGCCATGGAGTTGGAATGTAAAAACTACAAAGATTAATAATTTAGTGGATGAGAGAAATGTGGAGACATGAACATGACATTGACAACAACAAAATCCAATTCCCATATGCAATGAGGTAAGGGGGAAGTAGGGTAGTAGGCTGTCCCCAACGCCAGGTTGAGAGTAACTTCCGTGGAAGACCTCTGACAGTCAAAAAATTAAAAATATAGATAAAATGCAATGCATGTATAAATAAATACAAAAATACATAGTTGAACAGTAATCATATGCAGTCATTAATATCATTAATATTATATGCGCGTCTGTAATGGACAATAATCCCTGTAAAAAAAATCCTTGCGAAAAAATCTCTGTATATAGACAAAAACGTAAGACCCGATTAAAATTAAAAGTGAAGAGAATGATACACTGAAATCAAACGATAGCAAGTTCAGTTCTAAGCCTTCATAAATACCAATAACAGAAACGAATAAAAAGTAGGAGTTGAAGTTTATTATACAAGCCCCTTGGAATTACAAAATACACAGAATGAAAACAAACAACAATAACACGTTGGGTTGAGACTACCTCAGAAACTAATGCAACTAAACAGCATTAGAATCAAAAGAAAGGTTGACTGCTTCAGCAAGCTGCACATATTCTTTCTAACTTCCAACCCTGGAGTCTCACAACAGAGCACCAAAATAAAGCTCCCCACAACTCCCGTCATAATTAATATACACAATTCATACCTTACTACTGCTACCATCTTCCAATTCTTCGGTCCCTTCTCTCTCCAGATTTTTTACCTTTCTTAAAACCTGTAAAACAAAGCACGATAAAAGATAAAAGAGGGGTGGGGAGAGTTGAGAGAGGAAAGAGGGGCAATGACAATCAACAAAAAACAAAGTGTGCAACACAACGCAATGCATAATAACTTGATGCTGTCCCCTCTAAACCAGACTCCTGTAGTGAAACACACAGCACCTGGCTTCCGCCCTCCCATTCCACAATCCATCAAGCAATTTATTTGGCTGGTACTTTCTTAACCCCTCACTGATTCAGAATTTATTTGGCTGGCACTTCCAGCTTGGGAATTGGATCCATCCATGGGTACAAAACGCTGAAACAAGTCCATTAAAAGCTTCCTCTGCGCTTCATCTGTATGAGGAAGACTAGCAAATAGAAGCTCGCAAGGCATTTCTCGCCTTACAACCTCTGAACCAATCCCTTCTGTTGTTGGCAGAGACTCGTTCTGCATTGACTGCTTTATCATCTCATATTTTTTCATGCAATGCTTGGTAAGAAGCATGAAAAATTCATCAAACGACTCCCTCCACAAAGCATAATTAGGCATGCTGCAATTTCCTGAAGGATAACTTAAAAGTTGACTGGCCCTTTCAAGAACTGATTTTAAAATGATAGAAGCACCATCTCCAGCAGGACTTCCGAGGGGCCTAAGTGGTGGTTGCTCTGAAGAACAAACAACGGCTACAACACATGCGCTGAGAGCACGAAGATCCATAACATTAAAACATGTCGAAACAGTCTTCGCAAGATTAGTAGTTGTCTCGGCTACTTCCGGATCAGAAGAAAGACCACCAAACAAGAATCTCAAGTGGCGGAAAATCGCCATGCACACTATTCGAATAAGCTCACTTCCAGGGATGAGAAGCTGAAGGAACCTGGAGAGCAGCTTACGACCCTTTGCAAGAGAGACTAATCTTAGGAACACAATGTCATCTTTTGGAGCACAGTTAACTGCAGGCATACCATTGCTAAGTGGATCAACAAGCTGAAGTGATGCTGCAATACCTTCAAGCAGGATCTGCCGCCTCTGTCTGAGCTGGACCCCACCATCTTGGGGTGGACTGAATTGTATGACCCTGTCAATATCATCTATATCAAGAAGAAGACAGAGACAATCTTCAATGGTGATTCTAGCTGCAAGCATAGGTTCCTCCTCTAGAGGCTTCTCCGTTTTCTGTTCAGAACCTCCATCACCTGAACCTAAGGGAGGATCAACTTCAAGCAGGGGATGAGGTCTTCGAATGGAAGAGTGGGGTACCTTCCCAAGTGCATCAACATGTAGATGCAAAAGCTGCTCTCCACTGTTACGGGACCGAGAATGCAAGTCCTTCAGGTGAGATGGAAAAAAATTACGTTTACCCCTGGGTTCGAAAGATCTTCTGGCAAGACAAGCGTGGTGGTAATAATCATCTACATAAGGATCATTACTACGTGTGGCAGCATGCTGCATCTTCAGGATACTCTCTATCTCTTCAGAAGACATATGCTTGGATCTGAATTGTACCAAGCCACTCTCACTTTTCTGGCTACCGGTATCAGAGTTTTGCTGAGAAATACGCATGCTCTGCCGTTTTCTTTGGGACAATTTAGTTCGTTGATCCCTAAGATCAGTTTGTCCAACCATAAGTTTATGTGATGAATGATGGGCATTATACAGTTGAGATTGCAATGATGCGAAATGAGCAAAAGATGGTTGAATTGAATGGTGCAATCTCTGTTGTTGTGGTGACATTAACTGTGGGGAAATTAGGCCATTGTGATGAGGTATTTGCTGTTGCAACATATTATGCAAAAGACCAGCATGATCACCATGTAATGGACCAGAGTGGTTAATCCAGTGACTCTGTGACTTGCTACTAAAAGATAGGCCAGGAGATATTAACTGGGACATGTTTCCACCACCATGCAATCCATGAGATAAACCAGCCAGTTGAAGACTGGAATTGAACAATGGAGAGAGGCTTGCTGTAGAGAAGGGTGGCTGAAATCCACTGGAAAGTGTAGAAATATTAAAGTGGGCAGGTAAAGACTGCTGGCTGCCAGGAGCAGGGAAAGGCATGAAGTTTGATTTTGGTCCAAAAATTGGTTCACTTGAGAAGCGATGCAGCATTGGTTGCTTCTCAGGATACGAGGAAGTTCTATACAAAGGCTTTGAAACTGAAAGATGAGAAGAAGTTTGTGGCTGTGAAGACCATCTATTGCCTTCTTGTGCATCTTCTGCATCAAAAATATGCTGATCCATCATGAATGCATAATCTCCGTCTTGAGCCCAGTCAGCAGCAGAGGAACCTGGAAAAAATTGTTCACAACATGAAACATTAGCAATCTCAAATAAAAAAGTTCATAAACCACTTACCACCATTGAAATGGATAAAATCCCACAAATTCATTACTTGTAAATCAGCACGGCACATATACTGAATTTCTAATTAACATTCATGCATCTTACATAAATGATAAACTCTATCCTGTTACATGAATTGCATTGAAAGAGAAATACAGAATAAAGTCAGCCAACAATACATCCAGAGTGTACATGTAAAAGAACTGAGACCAAGTCATCTGAACAAAGGGCATAGTTAAATAATATCATCAGTAGCATCAACACAGAGATAAGGCAAATTGCAGAACTGCAGCAAGAAAATGAGATGACTAATTTAACCAAAATACATTGTATCCATGAAACAACGAAAAACGGATAGAAAAATATGAAAAGAAAGAAAGAATATGCATTTACTAATACTAAGAAGAGTCATCAACAAATCTTTTGAATCTAGCTCTACAGAAAACAAAGAATAAGGAAACTATTTATGAGGGGTGGAACCGCTATTGTAGAGAAAGGGTGCTTGCGGAGATTTTCAAGCACATAAGTGTGATAAATATTTATTGCTTTCAAGTATCATTAAATAATATTATAATAATGAAAGCATAAAATAATACATAAGTGTACTCACTTTCCCTTGAAAAAGATCCAGATCTATCACCAATAACTCCTGGATTTCTTGGCCCGGTAACAACTCTATTCAACTGTTGAAAGAAGAGAAATATTAAAAATCCAACCAACATGAAAGGAAAATAAAATCAGAACAGCAACAATAGCAAGAAAGTGTAAGTGTTAACCAAGTGCTTTTTCGGACAGCATTTGACTTCAGGCCTAACTAGGGTTGGGCTGTTTTTTATTTCCCTTCTGGATCTGCTTGCTCCTGCCATCCTTGACTTTGAGTCTCACCAGCTTTAGAACAGAAGAATCCTCACCCCCTACCTTTTACATTTCCTACTCTTTCTTTCCATTTACCCTTCTTTCCACCCACAATTTTAGTAGCTTCCGCCAATCTCAATACTATAACTAGTAACTACAAGTGTCTTGCTGTAATAGGTTATTTGTTATGAATTCTAGGTTCCTCAACTCTTAGTTTACCTTAAGAACTTCTAGTCTTCAGAACTATGTTTTCATGAATCTCTCCCTTATCTCTTCTTGTTTTATATTTGAGGTTGCTAAGGATTGAACCCTAAATAACTAATCATTGGAACTAAAAGTCGAGCAATCTATCACAGTCCACATTCTTGTTGACAATTATCTCATATAACAAGTGACATCAGATTATTTTTTTCAATTAGTTTCACATTCCTCTTATTCGGTTGTTGACAATTATCCCATATAACAAAAAACAGCAGATTAATTTTTCAGTTATTTTCACTTTCGTCTTACTCGCTGATACATGCGTCCTCCCCTTGTTTTCCATCATAAGGTCAAACAAAAAGAAAAGTTGTAGTTGATGGATCAAGATCGATTGTTTTTCAAAACAATTTGACCAAAATACAAAAGGCAAATCACATTTTTTTCAGCCAATTTTGTTTATTAATTGACAAAATTGCAAACTAAGTTCAAGAGCAACACCTAAATTAGGTTAGAATGAAGCACTAGACTAAGACATCCTTTGAAAGCCCAAAATAAGAATGTAATATATCCAAGAAACAAATCTTACTCCTCCATTTCTAAATTAACGCTTAGTCCAACAAGTTTGATGAACTACACTTCTTTCCCAATATTGAGGTCATACACCACATCAAAGAATATTCTTTTACATTTTCTTAATAACTAAATCTTTGGATTATGATTACTAATAGTCTGATAGATTAGTTTTTAATTATTAACATGTCAAAATCAGTCCATTAAAAACTACACATAAAACAACTTTTAGTTTTTTTATACCAAAATTTTTGTGCGATGAATGGTAATAATCCAGAACACAAATTTCATTTGATAAATTTTAAGTTTATTTAGGGTTATCTATTGGCCACTTCCTTATGCAAGAAAATCAAGACAGATCTAAAATTACTCACAATTGGCATTCTCAACTGCAAGGTAAGCCACAATCACACAATCTTCAGTATAGAATACAAAATGTAGTCAGTATAAAATAAAGACTACCAGAAATGCAAGAAACAAGCATGCCAAATCTTATAAACAACCGTTAGGGAGAATAATTAACTACTGGAATTCATCCCACCACAAAGATTTGTGAATAGATAAATAACCAACCTTCGCAAAAGTACTAGCTAGATCATCCATATCAGATTGAGAACCTAAACCTACAACCTGCAAAAAAATAACACCAAAATTAGAGCTGAACTACCCATAATTCAAAATCCAAAATAGATAAAGTTGAAACCAAGATTTATGTTATGGGTGATGGGAAACAATATCAACAACTAAAATGTAGAAACAAGAAAAAAATAAAATCAATGTGCATGAGTGCAGAAAACACATAAATTCCTTACAACAAGAATGAAATACAACAAGTTTGAACTAATATATAGCTGTTGCACTTGATCCATGTCAATACAAAAATAGAAATCACATGCTCTGTTAAGATTTATGTTATGAAAGCATCTTTCCACTTTCCCGTATCAATTGTCAACAATTAAATCAACTATTTATTTTATTAAACCCTTAAAATTTTAAATTCAAATAAATTCATTGTGTACTTAGGAGTTAAGAGCACATATTTGTAGAATAAGTATCTAAAGATATATGTTTCATGCATCTTATGGCCATCAAATTGATCACGCATTGGGAAGAGAGTTCAAATAGATAGAGAGTAACTAATTTTCAAATGAATCATTTTACTTGGGCAACAAAATACGGACACGTGTCAAGTGAGAAAACCTTGAAACCTAATTTTTGTCTGGCTACCTTAAATAAGTAGCAATTTGGAACTTCAAATTGACAGACATAATCTACTTAATAAAAAGTTAATTTCCAAAATGACCGCGGAATAAAACTTTTATAGCTAACTAGTGGAGTGTACGTAATTGGAATGAGAAGGTACATGGCAAAGAGTGAGCTCGACACATATTAATTTATGAAACACCTAAGGCTTAAGAAAATAAATACAATGCAAAGTATTGTTTAGGGAGGAGGTGAAATGCAATGCAAATAAAGCTTGGGGTTGGCCGCACAGTGTATAACCAAAGGAATGAAATCTCACCTCTCCTTTATCAAAATGGTACTCATCATCTTCAGTGGAAGCAAAGACAGGAGCATCCTCTTCATCATCTTCCAGACCCCCCAGCTCCACTTCTTCCGGATCATTTTGACCAAAAAATTCATACTGGGATGCATCAAAAACCGCATTACCTGCAAAACCACCAACTTATTCAGCAATCAAACAGGACCACATATGCCGATCGACCAACATAGTATAGCTTAAGAACCATCAAATGAAAGAAACAGAAAAAATATCGAAAAAATAAAACTTTGAATACAAACAAGTAATCAAGCAAATACAATAGGTTTAGTGGAGAGTTAACAGTAAAGACTCCGTTTGGTAGGTGAGAAAAAAGAAGTAAGATCCAAACTTTTCCCAGTAAAATTTAATATCATTTCACGTCATAAGAAGCAAGCTATTAAGTAAGGGGAGATCGAAATAGGAAAGGAAGGAACCGAGGAAAGAAACCTGAGGAAGATAGAGAGGATAAATTGCTGTAAAGTTTGCCATCGGATCGCTCCATATTTACAAAACCAACGTGAAAGAGAAAGATCCTAAGCTCAGATATAGCAGAGAAGAAGAAGAAGAAGAAGAAAATTAAACCCTAAAGATACATAAGGGAACGATGGGAAATCTCTCTCGGAGAGAGAGAGGTGGAGATTAGAGCAGTAAGAGAAAGGGAAAGGGGGGGGGGGGTTCGTTGTAAACGGAAAGGGGATATTTTGATCTATTAATGAGTGTTTTGCACGCCGAGATTGAAGAAAGACACGTGCACGCTGAGATAACGACGCTCTTCCATCACTTTCACTTTAATAATACATTCACTAATAATTTATCTTAATTAAAAAAACTAACCAAATCTTCCTCGTTAAGAAACTATTAAATTCTGAATTAAGACAAAGAAAATGAGATATGATGATAGGTTTTATTGCTGGATCAATATATAAAGAACATATCATGTAATCTTAGTGACAAAAATAAATATTGTTCTTCTCATAGGTTTTGGGTTCGAATAGTTAAGTAGTGTATGCTGTTAATTGATTAAAAATGTTCTCGATAGATATTACATTATAATCATCTCAGACTATTTAAAAAATTATAAGAATACATAGATGTTATAAGAAAGTGAAAGATTAAAGGTTTAAAGAAATACAATATAGAACAATATCTATATCATTTGTCATAAACTATCTAGGAGTTAAAGATTTTCAAAAAATTATTTTATTAATTAAATGATTAATTATAACCTCTGAGGAATTGTCAAAATCCAAAATTTTGAGACAATTGAAATGAAATTAAGAGTATAAAAGATGGAATTGAATAAATTGAAAACCTTGTCATAAATTGGAGAAGACAAGGAATAAGTTGAAATGAAGAAGAAAGATTGAGGACAAATAAATGAATCTTGGCGTGTTCAAGGTCACGCCTAATAATTTAACCAATTTAGGGACTAAATAGTAACCTCTAAAATAGGGTAAATTACATCTTTTTAACTTAACTATCTTATCATTATTATTCTGGTCATTAAGGTTTAAAATTTTTAATTTAATCATTCAACTTTAGAGTTACTCCTGTTTCGATCACTCTATGATTATATTGATTATTTAATTATTATTTTGTTATAATATAACATGTTTTATTAGATGTAAAATTAGATGTATTATTGATGTAGACGTAGGGATTGAGAGAATGAATTTGACAGATTGTTTCATGAACCGTTTTAAATGCATCAATAAACTGTAGTAAAAGGGATCGAAATATGAAAGACAGTTGACCTTTCCTGATCAAGAGGTACACTATGATGAATGCAATATGAAAAGTTAAATTATTATAACAATAACTAAACATAAACACTAAAAGTTGATCGACTATATGTGTAGTTTACATTTTTGTTATTTGAATAGTCATTTATAATGCAGTAATAAATTAATTGTTAACCCTATAATTATAGGTTTAATACTTAATTTGTTATTTTTTTTAATATTGGCAATATTTGGTGGTGATTCCTTCATAAATTACATGGATTGAATGTGAATGGAAGAAATAGCCTTAAACAATAGACAACGTGCCATCAATGCCCTTTCACCGTATATATTCAGCCTACATGTAATTTTCTATTCCTTTTGTAACCCCCAGACCGATGCGGATAACTCGATCCGATCTGGGTTGTCACATTAGGGCCACCGGAGCGACCCACTGTAAAAATAGCGGAAAATTTAAAACTTTTTATCAGAACATGTAAACTTATAAAATCATTTGTCATTGTTTAAAAATAAAACAGATTTTCAGAATCGTATATAAAACAAAATACAATTACATGCCCCTAATCACATGTATAATTATCTAAAATCAACGCCGGAAGAACTCCCATACTGATGACGATAGTTGCACTGGTACAATTCTTTTAACCTGCAATGTTGAGTAATAGAGTGAGCTTCGGAAAGCTCAGTAATACAGAACTACCAGATGATGCTAATGAACGTGCACATACAGATAAATATTTATATATCCTTATTGTTTCCGAACATTTACAGACTTTTATGCTGAGCAGAGATCCTACTGATATTTCAGGTGGTAATGGACAATGAGCTTTCAGTTCAGAGAAATATTTCGGATGACTGAGTTCAGGAGATCAAAATAGGTTATCTAGTGTGTTCCCAAAAACCATGTAACTTTTCAGATCTTTTTAAAACCTATATATATATATATATATACCTCCATCTGGCACGTACAAAAATGTGTAGGTTCCCCAGAACCATACAACCTCGTCACGTCCAGTAAGACTCTGAGCACACAGCCGATGAGCCAACAAGTAAGGCCCTGAGCATAAAGCCGAGGAGCCTCTAGGTATTCTTCCTCCAATAATACCCCCAAATAAAACATATTCCGTCCGTAAACGGACATATAAAAAATCAAAGCATAATTCATGTCAAATATCATATCAAAATCCAGGTCAAGTATCATATCAGAATCCAAGTCAAATATCAGATCAGAATCTATGTCAGATATCAAATTAGAATCCATGTCAAGTATCACATCAGAATTCAAGTCGAAAATCATATAAAATATTCATGTGAGTAGGGAACACACCAGAATTTACAGATATTATTCAAAGATATTGGATAATCTTAACAGGTAGAGGAACACAAATCTTCAGTATACCGATAGAACATCGGAATTCAGAATCACTATTGGAAGAGTTTAATAACTGACGAAATCATCAGTTATTCATAATATGACTTGAGCTGGTAAGAAAGAAATGAAGATTCAGGACATTTACAGTCTATGTCGATTAATCGGATTTTCTAACAACTCCAGATGAATAGTTCCCAGAACTAATGCTTGTCAACTGATCTATTCATTATCCTTTCAGGGTATTTACTTTTTAATACCAAAAATTCTTATCCATAGATCATCTTCGGAATCATCGCTGAATAGATCTTAAAGAAACTAACAGATATATCGATGTTCTTAATTTCGTTTCCACGCTTCCACGATATCATGAAATGATGTCGTGCTTGATTTGTAGTTCATGACCCATAAGAACATTACATCATGTATGTTCATTAACGTTTTCAGACTCATCCAAATCACTTATTTAATCCATAGTCATTGAAGTTACTTATTTCACTTAGCAGTCAAGTCCATTTCAGTTACTTCGGGGTTTTCCAAGGTAATTCAGACGTTTCTGAATTTCGGATACATATTGTACTTCCGTTCAATTCAATTTGGTCTTCGTGGTTGATTTGTCTAACAAATATCAAATTCTTACTGTTGAATGCGATCTAGAGTTGAGCTGAGCTGAATACTTCCAAAATTATCATCGAGCCAAACTTGAGAATACAAACACGCATTCAAGTGACATCTATGTCGTTCAGGTACTGATATAACACTAGCATTGGTTGCTCGGCTTAATATGTGATCTGTAACTTTTAAGAGCAGTACCACATCCATGTTTATTTGGATTCCTTAATTAATCCAAGACATTTCCTTAGTATAGGCCATAAGGGTATTTTGGTTATTTTGGTGTTCAGTTTATTCCAATCATTACATAGCTCAAGGATATCTAATCATTCATGAGCTTGGTGATATTCTTGAGTCATTTCCATTACAGGGGTATTTTGATCATTGTACAGATTCAGTGTAATTTAATCATTTCCTTCAGTCTGATCTTACTATTAAATTCAATCTTATCATTTATTTCATTCATTTCGAACAATTCTGACAACAAAACAACCCCGACAAATTGTTCTGCAGGTATTTACTCATAACTCGGATATTTCCGGGTCAAGTGCCTTCTCAGATTTTACAAACGGAATATTAGGAAATTTTCCTGCACTAAATCAGGATCTTAATAATCAAATCCGTACTTAATCGAGTTAAGTATGAATCCTTTAAGTATTTTCTCATTCAGGGTTAACTCAGACTATTTTACCTCTTAAGGGCATTTCTGTAATTTCTTAACCAGATAATTTCGATATTAGCTCTTAACGAAAATAATTATAATTTAGAGATCCTATGATTAATTGCTTTCCTGAACATTCTCTGATCTTGAAATTATTCTTTAACAAACTTCTAGTATCTTGCACAAACCCTTTTTAGCGATAAAAACCTGTTATCCAAAATTTATAAACAAAACTATCATTTCTTATACACATCTGTAATTATATCAGATCAATATGTCATTTCAGAGTTATTAACCAACTTCCAGGGATAATTTTTGACATCCTACAACATAAGGGTATTTTCATAATTTTACCCTACCGAAGTATTCTCATAATTTCTCATCCAAGTACCTTTAACATTTAACCTTTGATGATATAAAATATAAGTTACAAATATAGGGTTGATTTCTTTATCACCAATCACAAACTTGTAAATTTAATTCTAACAATTCCTCAATCTATTATAATAGTCATATGAGCCATATTTAGTTACCTACTTGCTACCGTATTCGTATCAAATGTAGATCTTCATTAATTACACATATGAGACCAAACATTTCCATTCATGCATTTACCAATACCAACATGTTCTATAAAGCATAAAGAGGTAGTAAAGTATTATCTCGATTTCCGTGCAATACTGATCGACCATAAAATTTCATTCGAACGCCCTCGATCTTGAAATTATCTTCCAATATTTCCTCGTATTCATACCAACAGAAATTACATAAAAAACGGAGCTTAATTATGAAAAACGGATCGAATCAGATGATAAATCATTGAAAAACAGATTATCGGGTTAGAATTTGGCGAAACGGACTTCGGATTCAGGACATCGAAAGCATAAAATATGAATTTTCAAAAATTTGGAATTTTCGGTCAAAATCAAAGTCAACGGGTTTGACTGGCAATTTTGAGGCCTTCGAGTCCGAATTTCAAAAAACGGACTGCGGAATCGGATTTGGAACGTCGAAAAATGTCAGGATAGGTATACTCAGTCAAAGTCAAAGGTCGTTTAATGCCCGGTCAAATCCGGTCAAAGTTTTGGTCAACAATGGTCAACACCGGTCAACGGATCGGGTCAACGGGTCGGGTCAGGTTATAACCGGTCAAAACAGGAGCAAAACCGGTCAAACCGGTCATTTTTTTCTTCCCCACGCGCAGTGGCTGCGCGTGAACAGTACCCTGATGTCGGAAAATTCCTGAAAAAATTTCTAAAAATTATTTTAAGCGATTTCGAGATACTTACAAAGCTCGGTTCAAATTTTTGAACGGCGGAGAGCACGATTTCAACGAATCGAAAACTTTGACCGCTTCACCTCCTCACGCGCAGCCGTCGACGGAGACCAAGGATGACACCGGCGGACTCGGAATGATGCAAGGAACACGATGGTGCGGGAGGTGTCGTAAACAGATTCTCGGATCGTCGTGAATCGATAAAAAACCAACTGAAATCGGGTTATTACCGACGATACTTCCGACTAAAATTAATGACGAACGGAGATGATTCATGACGAAAGGTTTAAGGGGTTTTGTTCCTCGCTCGACAACGAACACAATGGTGATTTCGGCTCGTCGATCGGAGGTCGGACGACGAATAGATCAGAGTTGAAAGTTGGGTCAACGAGAGAGGAAAAAATGAATTCTGTTGTACGGGGAGGGGTTATAAATTCTCTCATAAATAAAAATGGGTAAACCATGACTTTAGTCACTGAAGTTCCTGTACTTATTAAAACGGTCTATCAACTTTGAAATTTTACAATTTAATCCTCAATTTCCTTCCAAAATTCCAATTAAATTCACCACTTTATAATTTCTTAAATTTTAACCCCTAAATTGGAGTGTTACACCTTTAATTAAATTATTTTAATTTATCAAATCTCAATTAAGCATTAAACTAAATTTGCTTTTACCTTTATATAACAGTTTAATTAAATTATGGATAAACTACAAAAATATCACTGAAATTTAGACGGTGTATCGTTTATCCTATAGAACTTTCAATTACTCCAATAATAGCACTAAACTTTGATTTTGACTTCAATTATGGCATTGGGCTGTTAACATCCAAACAACGTGATAATATGGATAAAATAACATCGTTTTGGTATCAATATCGATACCCAAAATAATGTCATTTTGGACACTAAACTTTAAGGGTGTGTCGATTTTTCCACATCATGCCATTAACATTTAACAACTCAATAAAATAATTGAAATTAAAACCAAAATTTAGTGATATAATTAGAGCAATTAAAAGTTCAATAATATAAACAATACATTCTCTAAAGTTTAATGATATCTAAGTATAGTTTACCCTTAAATTATTTATACTCCTTGAATAGACCAGCGTGTGAATACAATCCCTTGCACATTTTCTCTCTATAATATTATGAAAATGATGGACAAAGAAAGAAATAATAGTTTAATTAATTAATTAGTATAGGTTGGTGGGTGAGCAAGGATTCCTAATAACAATTTGGATTAACAGAATTTAACATCATTATCATCTATCTCAATAATTTAGTTCACGTAATTGTCATGGCTTCTGTTTCTTCCAATGAATGTTGAACTTCATTATAAATTCATAATAGAGGGTCTTGGGAAGCTCCGTTCCAGCTCAGAAATCCATGTACATGGTTAAAAGAACTGAAATTATGGGGAAGAAGATGTTAAGTCAAGCGAAAGCGAAAATATCAAAGACTAGCTGTAGTGAAAAGAAGCCATTGAAGAGTCTGATAAAGGTGTTGTGTCCCAAGGTTTACATTACCCACAGCTCCAGTTTCAAAATCCTTGTTCAAGAGCTCACTGGCAACGCCACTGTTTCATCTCCTTCTTCTTCGTCTTCACCCCAAATTCTAGAGCAACCGGAGCCTGTTCTTGAGATTCTTGGAAACCCTGAGAGTAGCACGGAATCATCCTTTGAAGCATCGCTCGATTCATTTCGGGTCTGGGACGATTTAGCTTTGCCTTTCGATGATACAAATTCATTGGAATATATTTCCATGGATAGTCAGCTTGAGGATTCCTTGGTATATGGGGATCTGCAGGCGCTTTTACAGCTTGATCACGTGGATGAGCAATGTTTTGGTTCTTTCAATAATGTATATTCTGAAATTCAGCAAGAGGTGAGCATTTATGACTGAGTTATCCGGACTCATATGAAGCTAGCTTGTACATGTATTAGCTTCATTGATTTCCAATGGTTTTTGCTGTAAATATAGTTTTTTTTTTGTTGGATGTGAATATAGATATTAGTGTACCTTATGCACAGAGAAATAGTTTTTTTATCACTTTTGATTTTGTCCAAAATATACCTCTTGTTCACTTTAAGTGTCTAATTTTTTTTTTTATCAATGTAGGTGCCTAATGGTTTCTGTTATTATTTTAAATGTCTAATCCATCACGGCAGTTTAAAAAATCCATCAACCATTTCAAAAATGACACATGGTGGGTTTATAAATTTTTAAAAGTTTTATTAAAAACATTAAAATTATCATTAAAAAACTCATTTATTTTTCAAAAATTTCAAAAAGAACCCAAACCCTCGTTATTGTCGCCCGCCATCGACGGCTGCCCACCTGTTGCCGTTAACCTAACTCATCTTTCTAGGTTCAAGTTTAAATTTGAACTAAATATGAGAAACTATTTTAAAATTAATGTAATAACTCGTGTAATAATTAAACTTTTTCCTTGTGTTACTACTTGTGTAGCAAACGTGACATGAAGGAATCAAAGATTAATATATTCCCAAAACTATAAAGTATACCAACTACTCATTTAACAAGAACAGTTCACTAACCACATAGATGCTAATATAAGCCAAATCAATTTCACATCTTCACGAAATATTCCAAAAACAAAAGTTGGAACTAACCTTTGTTTTGTTAAAGTACTAATAGCACAGTTTACAATTTGCAGATGAGATGTACACCTTTGCATCTAACATTACTTTCTCACAATCTTTCTAATATTTTGTTCCATTGCAACCAGTGCTTACAAAAATTTGACAAATTTCAAATAGCTTTTTTTGTGATTCTAGAATCAAAGTTCAGGCTATTAGTAATTATAATGTACGAACAAAACAAGTAGCAGAGAACCAATATTAATGATGATATTGATATAATATCAGCAAGAAACATCCAAGAGTTCAAACCGTTTCAAATACCTGAACTTGCAAACCAAAATAAAGAACAGTAAATTCAAAAGATGAAATTGGTAAGCAAATGAATCATTTTCCAAAAGGCCAGCAATATTCATGATTAGACACGAAATTGGAGTTATATAACACTTACAAAATTCTCAGCCTTTTCAAAGAAGATAGGAAGAACCCCTTGTCCCCCCACTTAAAACAACATCTTTCACCGCTTCTTCCTCTTTGCGTGAAACTTTCCGACTTTGGCTATGAGGGTTGGGGCTTGAGCAGTTCCACAAAGAAAAACAAACAGCAAAATAAAACCCATTAAAGAAAAGTGAAGATGAAAGAAATCTGTAATTTTTAGATATGTAAAGATAAAGGTAAAAATATTGCAACAGAAAAGCAAAGAGGAGGGAAATCTTAAGCCAGAGGGAAAGAGGGAAGAGAGAATAAGGGAAACAAACAGACCATAAGTATATAAGAAACTTTAGTAGAAGATTAGTACAGAACATCAGCTGTACAACTAAACTAGAGAGACAATCATAAAAATGTCAAGTTACAGAATATGGCAACAACAGGCACAGCGTTTAACATAAACAATTATTAATTTAGATGAACAATAGTCAATAGTACAGCATTTAAAAGTAGTTACAGCAGATATGCAGTACCCCTGAAGGACTGAAATGACATTATTACACATATTTGACGATGAATGTTGCATATGAATATTTGTTCGATTTACTTAAAAAATTAATATATTGGCAATATCATATTTTGATTGGTACATAAAAAAGAGAGATTATTTCTCTTAAATTCTGAAGCTCAAATGTATACAAGCAACTCTCCCACATGCTAATGAATGACTCTTAAATACAGGAAAGATGGAAAAGTATGAGAACTTTAATTCCATGCCTCATACAAACGATTTATCTGATTAAGTTGGACAGACTAGAGAACAGAACAGAGGGAAATGTCCTTGCCCCCAAGTGGTGGATGACCTTCAAATACAAGCTAGCCCAGACTTTGATTGATGAAACAGATGGATTTACACTTGCACTGGTGTTAGAATGGGATCAGTCAGCAGTCCAGGCCTACTTTGTGCTCATTAGACCTAGTGAAGCACCGAAGGACGGTTTTATCTCTGCAAGGAACTTACTCTGGTGTGGCAAAAGACTTGCGTTAATTTCAAGTTTTAATTAAAAAATAAAAAGGCAGAATAAGGGATATCAAAGATGACCTCCAGTTTCTAGCTTGGGAAAACTTGAAGGGCTCTGTAAGATTAAGGAGCAATGGGGGCAATAAAAAACAGTCAGTGAAAGGCATGGAAAGAGTAATGTATGATTTGCAGTTCATTAATTGGGGGCAGGCCTTGCTTTTCAAGAGGGAAAAGCATTGGCTAAAGAAGGGATATAATTAGATGCTCATTTGTTAGTGTGCATTCTCTTCTATTTCACTGGCTATCAGCTTAAGAAATATTAAGCTGGGTAAGTTGATGCTTCCTTCAAACAATGAACCTCAGGCCAGTGGTGATGTGGAGATCAAGGATAACTCTTTCAGACTAAGAATTGATTAGGTGCCTCACCTTCATGTGAATAATAGTTGTTATATCTGCTGCCAGTAGCACACCAATCCAAAAGGAACCAAGGAAAAGGAGAATAAAAAGGGGCAAGTTGCAGCAAAGTTGTCTGGTGATGTCAAGGGAGAAACAAAAGTTTGTCGAGGCTCATGGGTGGGATCAATCGCAGTATGTTGACTTGGATAACCAGCAGGTAAATGAAAACAATAAAACATTTTTTTGAACATAAACTGACGCAAGAATATCTGTTAACACATTCACATATTCCTTTCCTTAACAAGTGCACAAAAGTCCCATAATTTGAGAAGAAAGTTGGTGTATACATTTCAAATGTGAAAGGGCAATAGTTCTGTTAACAAATTTAGAAATGGCATACATAGATAAGCATATGAGTACGATCTTCAATAGCAACAAAAGATGAAAGTTTCTATTAAACAAACAGAATATTGTATAGTTAAAGAAGACTTCAACTAAAAAAGCATATATGTTGTGTACCTTCATTCTTTGATGGCTATTGAATCCCCAATTGTTGTATCAGTGTCAGAAAATTACATCTTCATACACGAACTCGCCACGAGGAATTATATACTTGTCATTTCGGACTCTGATTTCTTTTGCAGTTCCAATGCAAGTTCTAGAGTCACCTCCACTTCACCCATGGACGGTCGTTCATCTTCCGTAGCAGAGATACAACACATAGCAATCTCCATAAATTTGTTGAAGCACTCTGGGGCTATCCTCCCCTTTAAATATGGATCAATGTAGTGATAAAGAGTCCCATTCCTGAGGCACCAAGATGTCCATCCAGACAGAGATCTTGCCTCATTGTTCATCTGAAAGTGAAATGTTCGAGTTTGAACCAAAATTACTTCGAGTAAGACAACACCAAATGAATAGACATCAATTTTTTCTGACAGGTACTTGGTGTGATAATATTCTGGATCAAGGTATCCGAAAGCACCCTCAGCTGGTGCCTCTTTTCTTATCAAAGCTTTTGACATGCTCCGAGGTCCTAACTTGGACACAAAGAAACCAGAAAGCTTAGGAACCAAATCATGATCTAAAAGAATAGTGTTGGTGGTCACGTTGCGGTGCATTACTACGTACTTGGTTCCGGTATGAAGGTAATGTAATCCACGTGCAGCACCAATGCAAATTTCTAGCCTCTTTTCCCAAGGAAGTGGGAAAAGAGGAAGTGGATTAGCATTGATAACATTACCATGGAGACAATCGTAGAGCGACCGATTGCACAAATATTCATAAACAAGGATTGTTTCTCCCTTCTCATCGCAGAATCCAATGAGAGATTCAACATTGAAGTGATTCAGCTGGCAAAGTAAGACCACTTCAGTTCGGAATAAAGTAAGACCTAATTCCATGCGTCTGATAGCAACAGTAAATGTCCCATCATCTATAACCCCTTTGTATACAGATCCAAAAATACTTGTACCAATAATCAAGTTTTCATCGAAGTTGGCGGTGGCAGCTTTGATCTCCGCTAGTGAAAATTGACGAATGGATAGTTCCTCCGGCAGTGTTGAATACGATTTCCCAGAAGATCCTCGTTGACTCCTTAGTCGCGAAATGAAGCCAACCGCTTTCTTAGTGACTTGAAAGAAACGTAAACGTGAGCTTGAAGAATCTGTCATGATGGTAGATGAGAATAAGGATGGCGATTTAGAAAGCTGCCAGACAATGAAAATTCGCACTTTTTGAATTTTGAGTCTCAAACCCTAAGTATGAATCGGCGATAGGGACGATAATGATTAGCGAGGGCAACGGGCGGGTTCAGGTTCGGGTATTGGTCTCCCGTCTCCGTTTAAAAATCTCATATTCGTCCCCGTCTAAAAAATCACGGGAAAACGGATATCTCATTTAGTATAAACGGCTATTTAAACAAGTATCGGGCCGGGTATATATATTTAAATTAAATATATAAATATTATATATATTTTAATTTAAATTAAATTTATTAATATTATATATATATAATAATTATTTTTAATATTTATCGGGCCGGGTAATCGGAGCGGGGATTATCAAACCTGTCCCCGTCCCCGTTTATCATCCCCGAACCGACCCGTTTAATTCGGTTTTCGATTTTCCTCGTCGGATTCGAGTTTTTTTGCCATCCCGATGGTCTTTTGGGTTAAACTATATAAATGGTCCTTGATGTTTGAGCAAGTTATTTTTCCCTACTGATATTTAAAAAGGAATGATTTAATCACTACATTATCGATTTATAACAAATCGGTTACTCATCGTTAACAACCGTTGATGAGAGTGATGCAATATTAATATGACACGTTAACTGACTAATGAGAATGACATAATAATGATGTTACACGTTAACTGATTGGCATGACATCATTTTAACTAATCATTTGACTCTCATCTCTAAAAAAAAGTTTCCACAACCATAGGCTTGATTGGAATCATCTTCAACATTCCTACATCTCTGTTCTTTAAACATTCCTACATCTCTGTTCTTTAAGAACTTAGGCTCCTTACCAGATCGTTTATCGACTTGGCCAACAATTTCGCAAATTTGACAACGATTGACGGATCCACATGTATTTGAGGTTAGGCATGAAATCTGATTTTTCTTCAGTTAGTTACTTATTTTATTAATGATTAAAATAAAGTATTGATGTTATGCTAATTAAAATTAAAGGATAATTTCAAAATTAACTATCAAAACAAAAATAAAGTCAAAACCATAGATGATTTAAAACATAGATGTCTAAAGTCTAAACAGAGGAAAGTATTGGTTAGCATGCAATTTTACAATTCAAATTAAAATAAAGTATGTGGGCTTTAATGTAGTTTATCCATTTATATTAAACACATACATTGGTTTACCTAGAAGTCTAAAGGTAAAGGGAAAATAGGGGTTTACATGTAGTTTCTCCAGTTAAATTAAAACAGTTAGCAATTTGACCATTCAGATTAAAACATAAATAGTCGGGGTTACTCAAATCACGGCCGGACGAGCTGGGGGACTTTCACTCAGAGATTTCATAGGGACGATCAACGGCGGGTGTGGTCGGTTTGGCTGGGACGGGAAACGACTACGGATGGTTCACGGTTCTCTGATGGTGTCTAAATGCTTTGAAAACGAGAGGAAACAACCGATAGTGTGCGAAGCAAACGAGAAATAACAAGGATGCTAGACAGTCGTTTATGTCACCGACGGTGAATTGAATTAAAATTAAAACTGAAATTAAACGAGAATAAGCTATTATTATCTAAGATCGTATTATTATTATGTTAAATTTTTTAAGTGTAAGTGATTAGAATGGCATTTAGATAATAATTGCTTGCTAGATCTCTTTCAATCTCTCTTTTTAAATTTGGATCCAATTTAATGAAATTTTACTTTTAATTTTTGGACTCTTTAAATTTCCCTTTCTTAGTTCTTTTTCATTATATTTTCAAGGTTTTAGGGTTTTTATCAGACCCAACCAGCTTTGCCTTTCCCTTGTAAAACTCCAAAACCTAAATGCCGTGCAGATGTGGAAGTCGTTCCACCCTTCGCGACGATTTGACGGACAACCTCGTCTGCGTCAATTGCTACGCCGTTCTCGATTTCGACAACTACGATGCTCAAATCGGCGGAATCAACGGTCCTACTGGCACCAACATCCACATCGGCTATGCAGGTACCGGTTCTCTCTACAGTTACAAAGACAAAAAACTCTTCGTAGCCAAAGCCTTAATCCACGAATACACCACCAGTCTTAAAATATCTAATTCTGAATCCGAGGTGACTTCTATGATCGACGAGATCACCGATGGCGAATTCGGTGATGGCGATTGGTTTCATGTTCTAATCGGTGCTTGTTCTTATGTTGTTATGAGGAGAGATAAGAAGTTTTTGCCCGCCGCGGAGGTGGCGGAGGTTGTTGATTGTGATGTTTATGAATTAGGTAGGATGATTGATCATGTCGTTAAGATTATGAAATTGAGTTTGCCTGAGGTTAGTATCGCTGGTTTGTTTGAAAGAGAGTTGAATAATTATATGGATTTCAACGATGTGGATGAGAATAAGAAAGAGAGGATGAGGAAACAAGGGATTTTTTTGGTCAATTGTGCTGTCAAGTGGTTTTTGACTACTGGAAGGAGGCCGTTGCCGGCTGTGGCAGCTGTGATGGCGTTTCTGGCGGAGTTGAATGGGGTGGACGGTTTGAAGATCGAGGATGCAGCAAAGAATGTTCGTGCCATGGTGTCTACTACTAAGTCGAGGTATAAGGAGCTCTTGGCGGCACTTGTGAACGTTGCTCAAGTGTTGCCATGGGGGAAAGATGTTACTGTGAAAAATGTGGTCAAGTATGCTCCATTTGTTATTCGATATATGGAGTTGAAGTCCATGGAATTGCCTGGGGGAGGCGGTGAAGTGGTTGAGAATTTTGATATAGATGATGTGGTTCATGAGTGTTTGCAAAAAGTTGCTGCATATGGTGATGATGAGAAGTTTTTTAATGGTGATTGGCGATATTTTGAGGGAGGGAATACAAGTGGTTTTACTAGGTCATCTAATGATAACTATGGAGATAACCTTAAGCTTTCTCATGAATGCTTGACCTTGATTTATACAACGTTTGTGAACGAGGTTGATGACGATAATTTGGAAGGATAACATGGAAAGATTCACAGGCAAAAGAGTAGGGGGGTTGAGCGTCATGCATACGAGGATTGATGGAGTGGGAAATCAGAATTAAGTAAAAAGCTTCTTCTGGAGCAAATTTTGGAAAAAGAAGTTGGTTTGGATATGATGCCACCCTCTTATATTGCTGGTTGCAAGGCAATTGAAAGGAGAAGGCAAAAGATAAATGCTGCTAAGGTGCGAATAAATAAGATAATGTATCCATCCTGTACCGTTTCAGATGGTGGTGAGAATTTTAACTCTTCCGAATTTGGTTGTGCTGGGAAGAAGAGAAAGAGAAGGCCAGTCAGTGTAATTGATTGGGAAGATTTTGCTATCGAAGCCCTCCTCCTGCATCAGGTTAAAGAAGAAGACGTTGAGAAAGGGCATTATCGAGCTCTGCTAGGTTTGCATGTCTTTAACTCTGGGATGAGATGAGAGCTTCCACTGCATGAGGCATGTTTCTAAGAATCTTGCATCATTGGACTGATTGAAATTTTTGTGCAGATATTTTTGTTTGGATTCTTTGTTTAAAACATTTTACAGCAACAGGAAAACTTTTTTGATGCAGTACCTTTTGTAAAGAAAATAGAAAGGAAATTTTGGGGCAGGTCTCTTATTACACAAAGAAGAAATCCACTCACTTTTTTCTCATTTTTATCATACTTTTTACTTCGTATGAGGAGTTTTGGTATGCAGATTTTTCAATGTGTTAGTTGTTTTGATTGCATTCACTGCATCCCATCTTATTCAAGCTCTGTCATGGAACCAAGTATAATGTCACTGGTCTCCTGAAGGAAATGTTTTCTGATGGCAAAAACCGACAGGACAATGTTCATCAAATTAAAAATAAACTTGTCAAACAACAACAAATTATTTTGGCCGACAGGTAGAAAGATTAGTGAAGCCAGCAGCAAAGCTCAAATGTAATAATGTATCATATAAAACATAATTTTCTTGTGTGCATTTCCCTGTCAAAACAGGAAAATATGTATGTATGATGTCTCCTTTACTTAGTGCTCCTTACCTCCAAAAAGGTCCAAACTCCTAACTCGCAAACAGAACAGAGCTTCAGAATGTACTTTTCTTTTCTCCTGAAAATCTAACACCTTTATCAGCTCTGGTACGTGATTCTGGCCCATAAATGCCCCCAAGAGGCATGCAAAAACTAGAAGAGTTATTAAAATGTGTAATTATGGTACACAACAACTGCTTAAACCCACAATGATACTGTTTCCCTATTAACTTTGTGTGGGCTTACATGGGGAGCGTCGTTATTTCAGGTCCAGCCCACCTCAACTCTTTTCATTGTGTCGACTCGAAGATGGTAAACATTGGTTCCTTCCTTCATTGAATGAAGAAGAAAGGGAGGGGTTTATTCGCAGCTTTCCGCCAAACCTTTCTCACCCTCCGAAACCCAACTTCCCAGGCATCCACTCTCTCTCACTTTACGACCCGATATCAATCCCTTGTTTTATATGTGTAAATAGGCCTGTAAATGAATTGAACGTTCAGCGAACTGTTCGTGAACCGTGCGGCGGGAAGTTCGTTTATGTGCGTTTATTTATTAAATGAACAAATATGAACAAGATTTTGTGTTCGTTTAATTAAATGAACGAACATGAACATAGGTCTCGTTCGTTCATTTACGTTCGTGAACGTTCGGTTATGTTCGTACGGTTATGTTCGTTTATGTTCGTTCGGTTATGTTCATTTATGTTCATTCATTTATGTTTAACCCAATCTTCTTAAATCAATTTTGGTGACTAATTTGTAAGTATCTTAAATATATTAATTAATCTGATATTCTGATGACTAACTCCATAATTAACCCAATTTTATTTGGAGATTAAATCCAATAATTTAACCTTGAGGCACCTCGCACCTATATTCATTTTCCCCATTTTTTCCCCAAACCGTAGTGTTCACTGGAGAGTGGAGACGATCGTTGAAAACTTCAAAATAAGTTATATTATAGTGCAATCTGAAGTTTTACAGGTCTGTTTTCATCTCTTTCTCTGTTTTATTTGGCTTAATAGTTGATATGTAAAGTTATTGCGGGTATCTTCACATCTAAAACTCAAGAAAACATTATACTTCTTTCTAGAAATAGATGGGAAAATAAAGGTAACAATCGGAAGTATATGAGTATCAGTAAAGAGAAAAATATATAGAATTTGCCAGAAAATAAAACAAATGTTTCTATGCAATTTTTGAAAAAGAGTGTAATAGCGGAAGTAATGGGTTTTCCAGGAAGAACCCATTAATAAGTAGAAAATACATTTTGACAATGAACTTTTGTTTTCATAGTTCTTGTGTGACCTTTAGTTGTGGAATAGACTTTAGGTACGTTAAAATTTTGAATGGTGGTTTAACAATAATATCAGTTACTATATATAGCATCGAAGGGATTTCGGATCTATGTTATTGCCTTGTAGTCCAATTTGTACCGTTCGAAATCTTCATGCAGTTAAATTTTCTACTCTGCCAACGGAAAAGAGCATTATTAACAAACCTCACTAAAGTCTGATATTAATGTAACAAAATTTTTAGCCGGCGAATTTATTAGAATAAAGTAGTGGAAAATGATTGTTCATATTTAACCATGGACCACTAAGATAAATGTTGTAGCGTTAAATTAAAGACGTGTGAATCATTTATTATCTTTAAAAGATCGATCGAAATATTTGATATCTTTAAACATTTCATCACTGCTAATCAGCTCTTACGCTATTTATCACTGTAGATTTGGTTGATTTGCATTGTCAACTATTTTTCATGAAAGAACAATGAAAGGTGGGGTATTCAACGTTTATGTTCGTGTTCATTTATATTCATTCGTTTATGTTCGTGTTCGTTTATGTTCGTTTATTTATTAAATGAACGAACATGAACAAGTTTTATTCTTTAATAAACGAACATGAACAAAAAAAAATTGTTCGTTTATGTTCGTGTTCGTTTATGTTCGTTTATTTATTAAATGAACGAACATGAACATACCTCTGTTCGTGTGCGTTCGGTTCGTTTACAGGCCTATGTGTAAATGATCTGATTGGCAACCTTTTGAAATAGAGAGAGGTGATTACATAAAATCCAAAACCAATCCCATCCTCTCACTGCACTAAGATAGTAAATATATTTGGTCGGTTGGTCAAATTGTTCATATCTACTCTTTTATATTTTTTTTAATCATGAATCCTAGATTCACTAAAAATACTCATATTCATTCTCTAAAATTTTCTCTTCATATTCTCTCTAAATACGATTAGGATTAGATTTAAGATTTGTAAAATAAATAAAATAATTAACACAACACTGTGAAAAAGAAAAAGAAACTTGATAAAGGATAGAGAATGGACTAACGTAAAATAATGGTCAAACGATCGAAAACGTGTCATAAAGGCAGAGAAACACGTGTCATAAAGACAAAATTATTAAAAATAAAAAAACAAATATATGATATAATAAAGCAAAGGAAAAATAATAAAAACCAATAGTCGGCTACTAGCACCAAGACTGATGCTATTACTAATCACAAAAATGAAGAAGAAAAGAGGCTAACGGTGATTAAGGGAAAAAAAAGAAAATAAAACAAACCCTAAATTTATAATTTTGTATATAATTTTTAATAACATAGATTCACCTGTATTAGTATAAAATTAAGTTAATTTTATATGCCTAATAATTTAACAATTCAACTATTATGTAAATTAATTGTTCAAACATGAATCTTTTTAGGAAAAATAATAATATTTTCTTTTATTATTGAGACTATTCAATGAATTCTTATAATTATTTTTCAAATAAAATAAAACAAGTTTAAAATTATAACGAATGAAACAGAAAAGTCGAAAGAGATGAGACGATAAAAAATTATGTAATTTTTTATATGTATTATTTGAATATAAAATATTTAAAAATAATAATGATTGGGAGTGGAAATTAGAAAATGTATAAAGATAAGAATTTAATTAAATTTTTAATTATTGTTTGAATAAATCACTTTATGTTTAGGAATAAATATAAAAACTATTATTATTTGAGAATTAAAATTTCAAAATAATATGGGAAAAGCTTTGTATTAAGAATTTGATGAGTGGGTAGCTGAGTTGGGCCTAATTAAAATTTGGGCTTCATTATATGTTGACTTGTTTAAGAGTCGGATTAAGTTCATAAACCAAAAGCATCTATCCACATCCCTAGCCAAAACATATATATATATATATATATATCAACTTCATCACTCCACATTGCCTAACAAATAATTGTATGTCTAACCCAAAGATGCCAAGAATAAACTAAGAACTTGTTTTTTCAGAATTTATTACAGACAAATTATCTACGTCCGTGATCAATTATTGTGTCTGTTGCAGGTAATATTTTAATTATATATATCCGTGATTAATCATTGTGTTTATTGTATACTCATTTTCTTCTACTAAAATGTTTTTGTTTTGTTCGATTTTCTATATATATATATGAACTTCTTATGATGAGAGTTTTAGCAGGAGAAAAAGGGAGGTTCAAGTTCAGCAATGCTGGTGCTAATGATACTGGTAATGCTATGGAGCACCGACCGAAACTGTGCTGCGGACGCGGTCAATAAGAACAAGAGCATCAGCAGCCGGTGGTGCGATGGTTCTTCAAAGGAGGAGGAGTGCCTGAAGCTGCAGCTTTCAAACGACATAGAGACGGTGGAGATGTTGATGGATTCAGAAGCAAGCAAAATGGTATACGAAGTAAGTGCAGCATCGGGCTTCGCCGACAGTAAATATGCAACGATAAGATCACTCGACCGAGCTCAAGCCGTTTGCGACCGTAACACAGGCATTTCCTGCACTGCTCGTGGTAATTCAGGTACAAAGGTGCCTCCCAATTGTACACCAACTTCATACAACAGAGAATGCCACCGTCATTGATTCACCGCTTCTCTTGAAATTAGTAGGATTCCAGTATGATTACCGAATAACCAAGAGTATACTTTCTAATGTTGTCTGTTGTGTCTCATTTCAATTGTTATCAGCATACATAAATCATAATGATGGAAAACCATCTCTTTCAATATATGCATAAATATTTCTCATTGGTCTAGTGGTCAGAGGTCAGCTTTGCATATCAAGAGACCTAGATTCAATTTTTGTGAAGTGCAATCTGGACTTGGTGTTTGTCCAATAAAACGATTTCGTTTTGATTTATTTCGAACATCAAAATAATCAGTTACGATGTAATGTTCACGTTGACAGCTATCAGCTATGTTAGTATATAATTAATGATTTAACTATCTAATAATATAATAAAATAAAAATTTAAATTAAATTTATAGTTAACAAAATTAAAAATTTAATAATATAAATGATATACGTCTAGAGTTAAAATGATTTACTCTATATTATATCTCATACTATTTATTATTATTTTTCAAAATAAATATGTACTAACCAATACCAGCTTCTGCTGTTGAAGCCGACAACTTTTATATTTTATGAGCATAAAGATAAGGTTTGGCGAGTGAAATTATGATTGCACAACACTTGCATGGTCACGGGTGATACTGCCCACCAGCGTAGGGTAGGCTGTTCTCAATTTTTTTTAAAATATCTATAAAACTTTTTTTCATCAATTAAAAATTTAAATTTAAAATATATTTTTTTAAATTAAATAAGTCCTTAAAAAATAATTTGATCCTCGAATATGATAAAAAAAATTCATTTAGTCTATCTGTCATGTCATCAATCATCGTGTATTGTTACATCAGTATTGTGAACTGTCATGTCGGTACCATAACGATCAACGACAAAAAACGTTGGTCAAAGGACCACATTAAATTTGTTTATGAGTTGGAGGGTCACATTGGATACAAAAATAATTCATGACCACATTAACTTCTTCTTTTTTTACTACAAGGGCCTCATATGTCTTTTTGCTTTTCTAATAAAAACTACATTATAAGATTTTAATGTATTTAAGTTTCGTACTTAAACTCGAGTTTGACTTTCAATCGAGCAAAGTATGAGAATATTTTGAGTTCAAGTTTTTTCAAGCTCGAGTCGAATTTTAATTTTTAATTTTAAGTTCGAGTCAAACTTGACAATTTTAAACTCGTGAACTTTCAAGTTGAATTGAACTTAATTTAAATTTTTTGAATCGAGTAGAGTTCAATAATACTCGAACTTAACTCGACTAATTTACCGGGCCTAATTTGCAATTACTAAACCTACTTTCATTGCCCATATATTTGCATCTCTAAATTTGGATATTGGAATAGTGTTTCCAATTATTTTAGGAAAAAATATTAATGCATCTACAAGATAGGGTAAACTCACGAAATAATGCATTCAAAATAAATAATTCACAAAATAACGTTCTCCCAATATTATTTGCTGAAATAGGGCGAAATCAACAGTGGCCGTAGGTCGCCATGCACTCCCAGTGACCTCCTAGGTCGCCATGCACGCCCGGCGACCAAGGAGGTCGCCATGCACTCGCGGCAACATCCCCTGCTGCATGCTCGCCTGCTCGCGACCTTGCCGGGACTCCATGGCGACCTACACATGCACGATCTCCCCATTCTTCCCATGCATGAACCGATCCTTGGTCGCCCCGAGTGCCCCATGCATGAACCGATCCTTGGTCATCCTTGGTCGCCTCGAGTGCCCCATGCATGAACCGAGCCCCGAGTGCATGGCACGATCTCCCCATGCATGAATCCTTGGTCGCCCCCGAGTGCATGGCGACCTCCTTGGTCGCCGGGCGTGCATGGCAACCTAGGAGGTCGCTGGGAGTGAAGCAAGCCACGTCGTAGGTCGCCCGGAAGGCATGGCGACCTACGGCCACACTGTTGATTTCGCCCTATTTCAGCAAATAATGTTGGGAGAACGTTATTTCGTGAATTATTTATTTTGAGTGCATTATATCGTGAGTTTAGCCCTACAAGATAATTGCTGACAGCAGTCTTTATAGGGCTTTTTTTTCGAAAAATCATCGGTGATCGGTATATTTATCGATCTAACATCGGTCAGATTATATTTCTCGATCTAACACCCTTAACAATAAAACGCGCCCCTGCACTGCGCTATATGTTGATTTGGCGCCACGTAAGGTAAGGCGCGCCCCCTGAAGCGCGACTTATGCTGGCATTGATACACGTGTGTAAAGCGCGGCCCCTGGGACGCGCCTTACGCCACGTAGGGGTATAGCGCGGGACAGGGGCCGCGTCTTACCTTTAATTCTGATTTATATATAGCGCGGGACAGGGGACGCACCATACCTTTAACGGATATAATTATATAAGGCGCGATGCAGGTATCGCGCCTTGTAACTTTTCCCGGCTATAAATACCCTTCTTCCCGATTAAGTTCCTCACATCTCCTCACATCTCTCCTCTCAACTTATAAATTAATACAACAATTCCGTCAACGAGTCAATAATTCTGATAATTTTCTCATATTTTATTCAGAAGTTTGTTCGATTTTTCGTTATAAGATAATTTTGTGATAAATTTTTTATTATATTTATTGTTTATTATGATTATTTAAAAAAATATTATACTAATTTTTGTCAATTAATTTTTGTGTTTGTAAAATTAGAAAGCGGGAATATACGTCGAAATAGTTTTGCGGTACATGTAATAATATAAAATTATATTATTTAAATTATTTACGTTTATGTGTAAAAAATTTATTTTGTTATATTTTCGTTCATATATTATTTATTTAATCAGTATTGTTTCAGTTATATTTTTTGCAGATATAATATTGCCGCACTTTTAAACTCAAAGAATGGCACGACTTTCAGCTATTGTTTATTATGATGGTGAAATTTGAGAAGATGAAATTGGCGTTGTTTTCGTATCAAATGAGCGTGTTAAAATATCATTGAAGAGAAACATAAATCTTGAGGAGTTGATAACGAAGATTTCGATGAATATTCATGTTGTAAGTAGTAGAAGAATGTCGTCGTTGCAGTACAGATTTCGAACATCATTGTTGCCATTAACTTATACAGCGTTCGAACTTTTGAACAATGATGATGTTGAAATTATAGTTGAAGCTCAAAGTAATTATTCAGACGCCGATATTGAGATGTATGCAAATTTTATTCAAGTGTGTGCCGTTCGGGGTCAATCATTAAGCTTCCACTATGGGTTGGCTGAACAAGTTGATAGTCCGACGACAATAATGTGTAATGATTTTAATTCCATAATGGGGAGACATTCATCCGGAACTCCTTACGATATGTACCGAGGTGGGTCGACGAACAATCCGTATGACAACATCGCGTCCAGTTCAAGGGGAAGTCATTCATCTGCAAATCCGTTTGACCTTAATATGAAGATGCCATCGACGCAACCATCTGTGCAGTTCCCATTTGAGACGATGACTTCAAGCTCTAAGGGGGAGACATTCGACTGCGAGCTTTTTCGATCTCAATGTCGATATGCCTTCTAGTTCAAGGGGAAGGCGTGCAAGTAGTAGGTTCTTCGACCTAAATGTGGAGCGCATGAAGGAACCATCATCTTTACCAGAAGAACCGCTTTGTGAGCTTGGTGCGGATGGTGCTGAGACTGGACTATTCATTCACCCAGAATCACCGCAATTCAACTTCGATGATGATGAAGTTCCAGGAAATGTAACACAAACTGACCCACTTGCACACATGTATGAAGCTGATTATGCTGCAATGTACAGGCTAGAATTTGTGGATATGCCTCATCTCGGTGACTATAGATATTACTCATTAATAAATAATGGTGAATTATCTTTAGGCATGGAGTTTTCAAGCAAAGAAGAAGCGTTGCTATAAAAAATTACAATATCAATAATTATGTTCAGTCCAGAGTCAACTGATCCACGACCGATAAATATGTATGTTACTGTACCCTACGCGAAAATGGATACAATTGGATGGTTCGTGTATCGAAAAGGAAGAGGAAAAACAACATATGGGAACTAACAGTATACAACGGTTCTCACACATGTTGTGCTGGAGGGGTCAACCAAGATCATCCCAACTTGGACTCTAAAGTGATATGCCAATCCATCTTGCCCATGGTAAAAGCAAGCTCTCATATAGCTATTGTTGTGTTGATTTCAGCTATACAATCGCAGCATGGGTACACTGTCTCCTATAAAAAAGCTTGGTTGTCAAAACAAAATGCCATTGTCAAACTTCATGGCGAATGTGATGCATCTTACAACGAACTTCTAGGTTGGTTTAGGCTGGTACGGAGGTTGAATCCTGGGATAATTGTGGACTTCGAAACCTCCTATGCATACCATAATGATCGAGTTCTCCGCAATCGATGCCAATTCTATCGGGTTTTTTGGACTTACCCACAGTGCGTTAATACTGTCAAATACTGCAAGCTTGTTGTCCAGATCAACGAGACTTTCTTGTATGGAAAATACAATCAAGTTTTATTATTGGCAGTTGTCCAAGATGAAAATCGCAACATTCTTCCAGTTGTTTTTGCTCTTGTCGAAGGAGAAGATACATATTCTTGGGTTTTTTTCATCCGAAATTTACGTGCACATGTTATCACGAGGGAAAACATCTGTGTCATTTCAGATCGAGGAGCTGGGATCAAAGCAGCAATGGAGTCTTTGGGTCCAATGTGGCAACCACCCTTTGTCCAACATAGGTATTGTCTCCGACACATTGCTGCGAACTATCATGGAAGGTACAAGAAGAATGATGAGCGTCAATTAATTGTGCGCATGGGTAAGTGAAACTGATGTAGTGTGTTTTCTTTTCGTTCGTTTTAATTTTGCAAAGAAAGCAAGTTAGTAAGTTATACATTTTTTGATCAGGTTACGAACTACTTCCTCAAACGTTTGAATCAATGCTTCAAGATTTGCGGGCGAAGAATGAGGAAGGATACGATTACATCAGCCTCATCGATAAAGAAATGTGGACGAAAGCATATGATGGTGGATATCGATATGGACACATGACGACCAACTTGGCAGAGACAACCAATTCGACCTTAAAGGGTGCACGTCACTTACCAGTAGCGGCTTTGGTAAAGACTATATATTTTCGTTTGGGGCGCTCTTTGCGAAGCTCGGGAGACAAGCTCAAACCTGGATGCAAGGCGGTCATGTCTATCACCCTAGATTAGTTACTGCGACCTCTTCAAGGGATTGAAGCCGTGTCGTTAAGAGTAAATCAAAAGGACAGAACGTGCGACTGCAGG